TCCCACCAACAGTGCATGAGGGTTCCCTTTTCTCAACAGCCTCATCAATGCTTATTTTTTTAATCCTTTTGATAATAGCCATTCTAACGGTGTATAGTGATATCTCTTTGTGGTTTTGATTTGCATTTCCCTGATTAGTGATGTTGAGCATCTTTTCATGTACTTGTTGGTTATCTGTGTCTTCCTTGGAAAAATGTCTATTTATATATTCTGCCAATTTTTAATCAGATTGGTTTGTTTGCTATTGGATTGTATGAGTTCTTTACATATTTTGCATATTAGCCCCTTATCAGATATATGATTTGCAAATATTTTCTCCCATTCAGTAGGTTGCCTCTTCATTTTGTTGATGGTTTCCTTTGCTGTACAGAAGCTTTTTAGTTTGAGGTAGTCCCATTTGTTTATTTTTGCTTTCGTTGTTTTTGCTTTTGGTGTCAGGTTCAAAAATCACTGCCAAGACCTATGTCAGGGAGACTACTGCCCATGTTTTCTTCTAGGATCTTTATGGTTTCAGGTCTTGTGTTCAAGTCTTTAATCCATTGAGTTAATTTTTACATATTATGTGGCCCAGTTTAATCCATTTTGAGTTTTTATATATGATGTGGTCCAGTTTCATTCCTTTGCATGTGGCTGCCCAGTTTTCCCAATACTATTTATTGATGAGCCTGTCCTTTAAACATTGTATATTCTTGACTCCTTTGTCAAAAATTAATTGACCACATATGCATGGGTTTATTTCTGGGCTATTTTATTCTATTCATCTATGTGTCTGTTTTTAAGGCCAATACCATACTGTTTTAATTAATATAGCTTTGTAATACAGTTTGGAATCAGAGAGCATGATGCCTCCAGCTTTGTTCCTCTTTCTCAAGAGTGCTTTGGTTATTTGAGGTCTTTTGTGGTTCCACACAAATTTTAGAATTCTTTGTTCTATTTCAGTGAAAAATGCCATCAGATTTTTTCAGGGATTTCATTGAATCTATATATTATTTTGAGTAGTATGGACACTTTAATAATCAGTATTAATCCTTCCAACCAATGAGCATGGAATATTTTTCCATTTATTTGTCTTAAGTTCCTTCATTAATATTTCATAGATATCAACACTCAGGTCTTTCACCTGCTTGGCAAATTTTTAGGTACTTCATTCTTTTTGATCCAGTTGTAAATGGAATTGTTTTCTTAGTTTCTCTTTCTGATAATTTGTTATTAGTGTATAGAAATGCAACCAATTTTTGTGTATTGACTTTGTATTCTGCAACTTTATTGATTTATTAATTCTAACAGTTTTTTGACAGTCCTTAGGATTTTACATATATAATTATCATGTCATCTGCAGATAGTGAGTTTTACTTCTTCCTTTCCAATTTGGATGCACTTTATTTCCTATTCTTGCCTAATTGCTGTGGCTAAGACTTCCAATACTAGGTTGAATAAAAGTGGTAAAAGTGGATATTCCGGTCTTATTCCTGATTTCAGAGAAAAAGCTTTCAGCTTTTCACCACTGCGTACGGTTAGCTGTGGGCTTGTCACATATGGCCTTTACTATGTTGAGGTACAGTCCCTTCTATATCCACTTTGTTTTTATCATAAATGGATATTGAATTTGCTTTTAAAATTATATATTAGACTAATATTAAAATACATTTGTTTTCCCCAATCTTAACTGACTTTGGAAAAGGTAGTTATGAAAGAAACTTACCCAGAAAGGGAGAATTAATTATGAGGTGGGCTTGACTTTTTCAGGGAATTAACAGCAGAGTGCAGCAGAGTGCAGGCTGCAAAATTTTGCAGAGGACAATGTATATATAGACAGACTATAATTAAGGTATCACTCTGTCATGCCTTGGTGAAAAAGAATCCTATATGGTTATGCTTTATGAAAAATGTGGCTAATTAGGAACCACTTCCTTGTAAATGTTAATTTTACATAGGTAATTATTATTTCATTAGAACTGCTCTGAGAGTAATTGCTTTTCTGGTTCATTTTTAAGTGCTTACTACACACATCAGGCCCTGTGCAATGCATGCCCAGAGGTAGATTTTATTATTCCCACGTTTTGAAGGCAAATGAAACTGAGCAGTGAATTGCCATACCCACTACAAAGCAATAAAGCCAAGATGCATACTCAGGTGTAACTTCAACATCTATTGCCCAATACAATCCTACTTCATGGTTTTGCTTACATATTACTTATGTACCCACTTAAAAATTGAGTGGTATATGTAATAACCAAATAGGATACAGAGTATCACATATTGTTAATAAATTTAGATGTAATAAAATGCTGCTTTTGGCATTTATTTTTGAAAATTGGTCGAACATGTCTATTTTCCTGTTCAGTAAAGACTCTGGAAACTGGTTGAAATAACTTGTTTTTACAATAAAAAAGACTGTTGCCAAAGTGTACTTTGTGAGCTGCAAAAGAGTAGTAGAGTTCAGAGCATGGGCTCTGGAGCTGAGGATTCAATTTTGACTCTATGACTTATCTGCTGTGTGCCCCCGACATTTTTTCACTTTTGGTTGTCTAAAACAGGATTCATTTGTAATAACTGTACTAATGCATCTGACACTTGTGAACATTAAATGAGTTTAATACATGTAAAGCCTTTGACACATAAACACTCAAAAAACTCTGGCTCATGTTGTCCAAATCCAAAGGCTTATTTCTCACTTTCATTCTCTTTTTTCAAATAGACTTTTTTTTAAAGACGAGTTTAAGATGCACAGCAAAACTGAGAAAGGTACAGACTTCCCATATACCACCTGCTCTACACATGTGTAGCCTCCTCCATTATTATCACCCACCAGAATGGTACATTTATTACAAATGAAGAACCAACAATGATGCATCATTATCACCCAAAGGCCATTAACTCACATTAGGGTTCACTATTGGTGTTGTACATTTTGTAGGTTTTAATAAATGTAGAAGCACTTGTATCTACCATTTTAATATCATAGAGAATTGTTTCACTGCCTTAAATATCCTCTACTCCATGTATTCCTCTCCCCAGCCCCCAAACTTGGCCACTACTGATCTTTTTTACTATCTCCAGTTTTTCCCTTTCCAGAATGTTATATAGCTTGAATCATGCAGTACGTGACTTTTTCAGATTGACTTATTTTACTTAGTTATACGCATTTAAAGCTTCCTTCATATCCTTTCATGGCTTGATGGTTCATTTCTTTTTAGCATTAGATAATATTCAATTGTATGGATGTACCACCATTTATCCCGTCACCTAATGAAGCACATCTTGGTGTCTTCCAAGTTTTGACAATTATGAATAAAACTGCAATAAATATCTGTGTGCAGGTTTTTATGTGGACATAACTTTTCAACTCATTGGGTAAATATCAAGGAGCAATTGTTGGATCATACAGTAAGAATGTTTAGTTCTGTAAGAAACTGCCAAACTGTCTCTTAATGTGACTGTAACCTTTTGCAGTCCCACTGGCAATTAATGAGAGTTCCTGTTCCACATCCTCACGAGAATTTGGTGTTGTCTGTGGCTTTTATTTTAGTCATTCTAATAGGTGTATAATAGTATCTCATTATAGTTTTACACTCCTTTTGTGAAACCCAACGATTGTGACTGAAAAATTCTTTTACCCCAAAGAAGAGCATGGTTATGTGGACTACTGCTGGAAACTATGTACATTTGGCTTAAAATCTAAATATGTTTCTAAACTCGTTTCGTTGTGTAGTTTTTACCACCACCACCAAGTCTTTCAACAATACGTTGTAGTTAAAGGAAGCCACAACTGCATAGAAAAATCAAAACATGCTTAAATAATGGGGGGGGGGAATTACTAAGCATTATTAACCTCATTAGCTACTTAAGACCAATTCGGGAGTACATAATCACATTCTCCATAGCCTTTTTTTGACCTTTACGACAGACGGACTACATTCCCCTTGCGACAACGTAATGGGAGTCTACACATAGTTGTTGGAAGCAAGAACATTAGTCAAGTCTAACTTTTATAACTTCTGTCATCTCAGTACAGAAAGATTACAATAAATCTAGTTTTATAAACAAGTAAAACGAGATCGGAATCATACAGTTGTAACAGGTTCGGACCACTCCACCATTAAGATTTTCAAACTCGAAACTCTTTAAAAACACAAATCTCTGCCAGGGTCTCACGGAGCTTCTGAAAGAATGGTCTAGGGGATAGGCCCGACCATTGGTCCTTTCTAAAAGTTTCCCACATAATTGAAGAGCAGCTGGCTTAGAAAAGACAGTGCTTTAAGACAGACTGTGCACTAGGGCGCCTGGGTGGCTCAGTTGGTTAAGCAACTGCCTTTTGCTCAGATCATGATCCTGGAGTCCTGGGATCCAGTCTCGCGTTGGGCTCCCCGCTGAGCGGGGAGCCTGCTTCTCCCTCTGACCCTCTTCCCTCTCATGCTCTCTCTCTCTCAAATAAATAAATAAAATCTTTAAAAAAAAAAAAAAAAAGACGGACTGTGCACTAGAGTAGCATCTTGCTACGCTCACAGAGGACACTTTTGGCCCAAAGCGCCTACGGCAATGCAAACTAACTGTGAGGGGCCAGACATAATTCCCGGCTTTTTTTTGCATCTAGCCAAGGCTCTCATTCCGTTCCACGCCTGGGTGTATCCGCTCTGGAGCCTGGCGAATTTCTGAAACTCGGCCAGCTGGGCCCAACTGCTCCCCGAACCAGAAACACCACAGTTACGCCAAAGAAAGATGGGCCTCCTTTACGGCATCAGCAGCGGAATCGTCGGTACCGAGATTTCCTAGTAGGAAGAGAGAAGAGAAGCGGATCACAAACAAACGCCACACAGACGAGTCCCCGGAGCTCCATTAGCCCGGGACTTTTTTTCAGCGCTCGGACTTGGCCGGAAGTGACGCGAGCAGTCAACACGCAGGGCAGTCCCAAGAGAGAGGAGAGCGGGAGGGGGAGCGAGCGGGGGCTAGGGGCGGGGCGCGGTCGTAGCTCCGTTTCCGGTGGCTCGTCGCGCTCGCTCACTCCAGCTGCAGCCACTCTTGCCCGTTGCTGCTTCCTCCATCCTGGTATTTTTTGGAGCCTCCATCCTGGTTCTTCCAAAGTGCCCGGACCCAAAACAGGAAGTAAGTGCGATGGAACCTTTCAGGTCCCAACCGCCGCCAGGGCCGCTCCGCCCAGTGGAGCCTGTCCGGCCCCCTTGCTGCCAGCCTGTTCCCGCCGACCGGCGCAGGCTGTGTGCAACTGGGCACCGCGGACGGGGTCGGAGCTGGGCCTTCGTGATGCTGAAGCTGCCGTCCCCGCACGCTCAGGCCAGGGCCTCCCTCTCAGGGCCCGACCCGCGGCGGTGGCTCGGGCTACAGAGTGGCGTAGAGAGCGGCCGCCGAGGCGCAGCAGCGATCCGGCGGGGGCGGAAAATGGCGGCTGCTTCGGAGGAGCTAAATGGCGCCGGGACCCCTGGGGGTGGGGTGGGCCGGGAGCTTCGGTAGAGAATTGGACCGGAGAATGCGGAGAGTAATGAAGTCTTAGTTGCTTTCTCGTGGTGTTCCTTTTTTGTTTTTTTGTTGTTGTTGTTACCTTTTCGGTTTTATGTGGTCCAGTGAAGGAGAGGTGGGCTTGAGAGAGTTGGGCGGGTCTCGTTTCCCCCCTCCCCTTTTTTCCCTTTTACCTTGTTTGCGTCTTAGACTCTTCCATCTTTTCGGGATTCGTTCTAGCTTTGCTATTCATGGCCCATGCAGAGGCAATCGAGGTTGCTGGCCGTAGTTATCTCTGTCAGCCTCTCTTAAAAAGGACTAGCACTGACTGCGGGGAGAGTGTCCTAGTCGAGCAGAGAACCGTAAAAGGCGTCTGCAAAGTAGTAATTGTCATATTTTGCTGAGTTCTGAGGAAGTTTTTAAATTTTTTAATCTTGTCCTTTAAAATGGACTTTGTTTTGACCCAGTCTCTGGCGTAGATATGAGTGGGGTGGCCAAGTGCCGTTCTATGCAGTTGAATGATACAGCATCTGTTTTTATAATAAAAATACTCGGTGAAGATAAGGAGAGGGTGATAATTATATGAAATGTAAGTCAGGACTCTCTCTCCCTTTCCATGTTTGAATCTGGAAATTCAAATTCGGTGTGTGGTTGCTTTTCTTGTAACTTGATTCATCGCCGTGTACCTCCTGACAGTAGGCGAGGCTGCTTGTTGGGACATCGGACAAAATTCAGTCTGTAGGGTGACTTTCATATATGCAATGTTTTAAGCATAGAATAATACCATTTCGAATTTTTTTATCTTTTACTGATTATATCTTTATTTTTAATTCGTGCAAGGCGATTAACCATTTATAGCTTTTAAGCTCCAGTCCAAGTAAGAAAATACTCTTCCATTGTGTTGAAAGTTTTACAAACGGGAAATCTTTTTTTCTTTTTCAGTTAAAGGTTTTCATGTTTTTCCGTTAAGATTCTTTCTTTGAGCCGGCTTTAAAGTTGCTTCTAATAATCTTTTTAGTATTACTGTTTTGTTTCTTAGTAATTTGAGTAATTAGCACCACTTTAACATTTAAAGATTATGTGGCGATAAATACCAAAAACAGCGTTTTACTATGGTGGCGTAGTGTTAAGAGCGCATTAATTAGGTTGAGATTCAGAAATTTAGTTAAGATTTCGGAAAAAATTAAAATGCAGTTCCTTAACCTTGTAAAAAAATTGTCAGGCTGTTTGAGAAAAATTTGGTGTGAGAATTTTTCATTCACCAGGGACAATAAGTAGCTTGAATTTGTCTGGAAAAATTTACAGTTATGAAAAAGATGTTTCATGTTTATCTCATTATTATTACTTCCATAAACTTATGTGCCACCAAGAAGCTAATTTTTTGTTTTGTTTTTACTATTTTAGTTAATAGGCTCACCCCAAAATAGGCTTTTTGGGACTGATCTAGAATCTGCATTTTCTGCGTGAATCTCTTTGATTGCAGTTGAGCTAGATGGTGGAGCCAAAATGCTATTGCCCTGTTTTCATCTACAGTTAATCAGTAAGTACTGGGCATTGCATACTTGCTTAGAACTTCAAGTTCGTACTTTAAGCAGTTAGACGAATAAATATATGCTGTATAAGTATTTTCCACAGAACGTTCAGGTCTTAAGAAATATTTTGAGGGGAAGCCATCACAAGAACGTTTTGGAGTTAGGGTTTGATCTTTGAAAGCAGAGTATGGCTGGGAAATGGTTACTAATAGAAAATTATATCAAAAGAAGGCAGATGTCCTCTTGAATCTTTAAGTTCCCCCCCTTTTTTTTTAAGGGTTGGTTTGTTTTAAGACAGCAAGTTTATGTGATTTCACCCCAAGGCAATGGGAGAGATAAGCCTTATTTGTAAGGTTAGATATTGCTAGTTAGTATTGAAATAAAAACAACAAAAGCTTTTCCTTTTATTCATTTATCTCTCTAACATCTACAGACCCTAGTTTTTATTAATGTTGTAATAAAGTTGTGTGTTCTGACAATAACTTCACGTTATTATAAACAGTTGCTTTTGTTGTGCTCCATTAAGTACATTGGCTTAAAGTTAACACCTGTGAGGAGGAATACACTAATGTGAAACACTAGCATCCCTAGGGATTTACAACCTGGCACATGTTAAAAATTTAGGAGGGTTGGGAAGTGTTTTTTAAAGTATTGAGCTCCTAGATCATATTGAACACACATTTATAACCGTTCCAGGGACAGCAAAACTTTAGAACAACAATGAAGTTGAAGAGTTTTTTTTTTTTTTTTGTCTTAGAGGCTACTTATTTAAGATGGGATGTTTATCTTCTCAAAATGGAGTTTTATTTTTAAATAGGCAATCTTTTTATTTTTATTATTTAAAAGATTGTATTTATTTATTTATTTGAGAGAGAGAGAATGAGAGAGAGAGCAAGAGAGGGGAAGGGTCAGAGGGAGAAGCAGACTCCCCGCTGAGCGGGGAGCCCAATGTGGGACTCAGTCCTGGGACTCCAGGATCATGACCCCTCTGAGCCGAAGGCAGTCGGTCAACAAACTGAGCCACCCAGGCACCCAGTCAATTTTCTTTTACTACCCTAATCTCTAACACTTTTTTTCCATATAAAAGGTTTGCTTAGGGATTGGTGTACCTCTAAGTGCTTTGCAATTTCAGTTCCAAAGCTTTTTTTATTCTCAAGTGATGGGAAATGACCTGAGAAAGTTATGAACCTATTGCTGTGTTAAATGATAGATTTATTAAACGTGGCATTTGTTTGCTTTCATATCATTCCCTCCCCCCACCTTTTTTTCCCTTTTGTGAAGAGAATTCTTGTAATAGAAATCACAAATAGGTTTTGGTTTTGGTTTGATTCTGTAAAGATACATAGAAGAAGGAACCTGTTTATCATGTCTGCTGCTTCAAGTTTGTGGAAAGATACCCCATTCCAGGACAGAATTCCCAAAAGAAGTTGTCAGGAAAAAGCACACTAGAGATTCCTTTATGAACAGTTTTGTTTTGTTTTGTTTTGTTTTAAATAAAACTTGTCAGGCCATTCTTCCAAGCTCTGGGTTGTCAACACTGATCATTATTTACCGCCACATACTATGTAGCAAAAGAAAAGCTTATTATGTTTATTTACTGCCTATGTGTATGTTAGTCTCTGTCAAGAAAGTGTGCTTTAAAAATAAACTTCAGTGTAAATCAGAGGACTCTGGTGATAATTTGATGTATTTCCATTTAAAGAGCTTCTAATGGTGCCTTGCATAAAGTGCTCGGTTTTGAATGGATAAAATTTTTAAATGTAGCCAAATATACATTATAAATTCTTAAATCATGCACTGGGTGAAAGATAGTCTCTTTTTAATCAATACGGTTTTATTGTTAAACCAGGTATGAAATGCTGCACCTTGAAATGAACCATACTGCCAACTAATTCTCTTTGATAATAACATTGTTTTTCAGTAGTTGGTTAATTGGGGGTGCTTGGGTGGCTCAGTCAGTTAAGGGTCTGCCTTCTGCTCAGGTCATGATCCCAGATCCTGTGGATTGGGCCCTGCATAGGGCTCCCTGCTCAATGAGGAGTCTGCTTCTCCCTCTCCCTCTCCCCCAGCTTGTGCGCGCTCTCTCTGGCTCAGTCTCTTCTTTCCAATAAATAAAATTTAAGAAAAAAGTAGTTGGTAGTTGAAATCAACATCTTAAGCAACTAAAGCCTTTTATAATAAACTCCACAAACAATTTTTTTGACTCAGTGTGTAGTCATATTTTGCCACCTTAAAACTAAGCTATTAGGATCGTTAGTTACCTTAGTATGCTTTATGTTCATTTATAGCTTTGCTTCTCAAACTTTTCCACAAAGTCTATAGAAGAGCAAATCCCCAGGGGGGCCTGGAATCACTGTACAAAGCATTCAACCTCAGTGTGAAGTGTTCCTATTCCTCTCGAATAAAACCAGTATTCGCAGCTTTCTATTCTGCCAACGATCTGTACCCATGTTCAGGATATAGGCAGTTGTTACTTATTCTCTTCCACCAAGACGTTCTAATTAGCAAAGAGTTGTATTTTAAAATATCTTAAAATATATCTTTAAATTTTTTATTACATATTACTGAGGAAATCCATTTAAAAGCATTTCCTAAGACATTAGTTAATATGCAATGATAGGTATGGTGGTGGTCATTATGGGGTCTTCATAATAGCACAACCTCAAACAAAAATGTTCATTTACAGGACAATGGTTAGATAAATTTAGATACCATGTACCCATTAAAAATGCTTTGGAAGAATAAGTGGAAGTATTGGAAAATAGTCCTAGTAAGTGCAGAAAAACAAAGTTCTAAAAGATGGAACAGTATGTTTGGAAGATCATCACAAAATGTTACAGAGGAATATATGAATAACTTTTCTTACATTGGTTTAAGAAAAGACATCTAAAGATTAAATGTGGCCTTATTGACTTTTTAGTTGAATTACCCCAGAAACCTTGCATCTCAGTGTTTTTCAGTCAACTCATCCAATAAAATTCTAGTGTTACAAGTTCTGTAGCTTGCTTGATTTCCCCATATAAAAGTATCTTATAATACTGAATGCTTAGTCTTATCACATCTTTCAGTGTAGAATCCCGACTCCAAACTTGTAGGGTCAGCAACTTTTAGCTCCTGTGCTTTTCATGATCTCCACTAAAATATACCCTCCCACACTTGGGACTGTTCAGAAACAGACAAATTTATCTACAAAACTAGTTTCCAAACTAGGAAGAAAAGCCACTTTTGGTTGTAGTTTTTGGAACATGCTTGACACTTCACTTGGAAAATTAGGACCATTAAAGGCCTACCTTAGACATACTGCAAGTTCATTCCCAGACACTGCAATAAAGCAAAGATTGCAATAAAACAAGTCAAATGAATTTTTTTGGTTCTCAGGGTGTATACAAGTTATATTTATACTTTAGTTCATTTAAAAGCATGCAAGAGCATGTCACAACCAATGTGCATAAGTTAATTAAGAAATAACTGTTAAAAGATATTATCTGACCTTTCAGCTAGTCTTAAGCACTGATCGCAGATCACCACAACCAATATACAGTTGTTGGGTGCTTAGGGGCGGTGGCCCCCTGGGCAGTTGAAAATCCCTGTATAGCTTTTGACTCCACAAAAACTAATAGCTTACTACTGACCAGAAGCCTTACCAATAACAGTCAAGTAACATATATTTTGTATGTTACACATATCATATACTGTATTCTTACAATAAACTAGAGAAAAAAAATGTGAGAAAATACATTTACAGTACTGTATTGTAAAAAATCCACATGTAAGTGGACACAGGCAGTTCAAACCTGTGTTGTTCAAGGGTCAACTGTAATAATGAAAAAGTTGAAAATAGTTTGAGAATTACCAAAATGTGACACAAACACAAAGTGAGCAAATGCTATTGGCAGTACCAATAGACTTGCTTAACGCAGGGTTGCCATAAACCTTCACTATATTAAAAAACTTAGTGTCTGTGAAGTGTAATAAAATGAGTTATGCCTGTATGTAGATTTAGTTGATGGAACTACCAGTCTAAGATAATCCATTGAATAAGAACTTCACATCAATATTGGAATGAAGTAGGATGAAGGATTCATTTCTTTAATTAAATTCTGTATTAAGTACCAGATCCAGAGTTGTTCTTTTGTCCTACGTTAAATAGGATTTTCATTCATTGGGAGTTCTAAGTGAAGACAAATATATTTCTCATTTAAATGTGGATGTATTTCATTATAAATCTTTTAGGTCACATTTCATGTGTTCTTTTCTTGATTTTATTAGTATACTGTTGCTGTTCAAGATAGCTACCAAGTGATGGGTGGAAACGTGCTAAAAAGCCATTTCACCAGTTAAAATGGCTGTTAAAATTTTTTTCCTCTTGTTTCTAGTTAGTATAAAAATAGTACATACGGTATAACCCTTTACAGAGAATAAAGGGAAGACCTCAGTAGGCTGATGACAGTACAAAAGAAGACTAAAAAGTTGATGTATCTTTCTGATACATTTCCCTGATAAACCAAATAAGGAACAGGTCCAGAAGTTAAGCATAGTTTTGTGTTTAATGAATTAGAATGGAAGGCAATAAAATACTCAGCTTTGTACCTTACTATCACACGTTTATTCACCAACATTCCTTAGGCACTCTCATAATCCTATCAATACAGATGTGCTTTTCTAAATAACAGCTCTCTAGACATTACTGTAGCTAGTACTGTCACTTGCCCTGAAAACCCAACCTCATAAAAGACCTGTTGCTTGTCTTGTCTCCCTACTTTCAATTCTCTACGTATTCCAATAGGGCTGCTGTCCCCAGTGTACCTCAGATACTTTTAAGGCCACCAGTGTTCTCCATATTGACAGATCAAATAGTCACCTCTCCATCATCTTACTTCTCTGTTAACACGGTTGACTACTTAATGCTCCTTGAAAAACACTCTTTGTGTCTCTTGATTAACACCTTAGTTTTCCTTCTGCATCACTAGCTGGTCATTTTCAGTCTCCTTTGCTTGTTTCTACATAGCTTGATTTCCAGCTGTTCGAGTCTGCTCTAGATTGATTTCCAGCTGTTCAAGTCTGCTCTAGAACTGGAATCTAGGCTGTCTTATGTAACCTCTCTGGGTGATAGTATGTTTAAAAATTATTTGCCAGGGCTCCTGGGTGGTGCAGTGGGTTAAGCTCATGACTCTTGGTTTCAGCTCAGGGTTATGAGATTGAGCCCCATTCGGGCTCTGTGCTCAGGTCAGAGTCTGCTTGAGACTTTCTCTCTGTTTCCCTCTTCCTTTACCCTGCCCCTCCCAAAGTAAATAAATAAATCTTTAAAAAATGTGTTTGCATGCCATTTGTTTGTCTTGATATGTCTAGTCCTTGTTGAATTCCAGCTTCCAACTATCAATGTGATCTCTTCGTTTGAATGCCTTACAACGTTAATCATTCATTCTAATAGTAATAAAAATACATAATATATATCTGAGTGCCCCCAGACTCAATCAGCTGTTCAAGCCAAAAGCCCAGGAATCAGCTTGAGATAGCTCCCCTTCCCTTAATGTCCTTCTCTTCATTCAGCAGATCCTGTCCACACTGCTCCAGAATATATCCTTTGTTCAGCCTCCCTCCGTTGACTGCTGTCAACAGTCCAAACAAGAATCCTCTCTTGGACAACAGCTTGTCTTCATAACTTACTTATCCATTCTCCATACTGCAGTCTAAGTGATCTTTTAAAAATGGAAATTATATTCCCCAACTGAAAACCATCCAAGGAATTGTAAGGCCTTGTGAGATCTACCCCTGTCTTTATCTCCAACCTTCCATTCAGCTACTCTCCTTTATGGAAAGCCTCTGCCATACTGGCTGCTGTATTCTTTTGGTTTTTGGTGTTTTTTTTCCTGCAACAGGCCAAAGCAGGTCCCACTTTAGGGACTTTGCTATTATTAATCAGTTCGCTAGCTTGCAGTCACATGCTTGCAGTAGTGTCTCCTCATCTTGCTGAAGCACTGGAAAGTAGCCGTTAAGGTACTGTTCAGTGTTGGTAGTATGACACTATTTCTGTAAAAAGAGTATGTGTAGCAAGAAGGGCTGTATTGACTTACATATGTATAAAATAGCTGGAAGGAAGTCTGAAAAATTGCTAACAGTTTACCTATAGAGGGAGGGGGACCGGGTGACTAGGGACCTGGAGCAGGAAGCAGACTTCACTGTATAACCACCTTTATCTTTTGAATTTTGAACTATGTAAATGTGTTACCTATTAAAAATAAATTTAAAATAAAACCAGATTAGTTTCTTAAATATTAATAAATACACTGACCTCCTAGCTCTAACTACAGTGGGGAAGACCTCAGGAAAGTGAGTCGAGAGCATATCTAAAGAGACTTTAAAAAGGGGGGGGGCACCACATCCCCAGTGCCTAGAGAGTGCCTAATATATAGTCGATAAGTGATATTTGTTCATTGAACAGATATGCTTGTTAATTTGCCAAGCACCTTAGAACCACTTACTGATCTCAAACATGAGTTGCCGAATTTTTAAAAATGAACCTAGATTTCTGATTTAAAGCTAGTACACCGCTTAGGATTACCAGTAACCAATACAGGTTTTCAAAGATTAAATACTTTATTTCAGCTAGCTATTTCAGACTCCTTTTTTCTGGTATTATTATCTCACCATATCTCCATATTGTCTTAAATCTACCTTTATTTTTTCTTAGTTTTAGATTAATTTGGGTCTTGATGAAATTGATTAAAACGCTAAACCAGTGACTACTTTGCACCTATCAAATGAGCTCTTATGCTGTTTTTTTGCTTTGTGCTTTCTTTCTTAAAAAAGTAAGGTTGCCAAGAACCTCACTGGTTTGGATATAAATTCAAACAATCTTCCTGGAAAACCGATTGCAGTATTAATGCAGGCAAGCCAGGCCTGAGGACTCAGAGGGTCCCACAGGACCAGCCAAGGGGGTTCTAGGCTTCCCACAGGATGGAAATAAAACTCAAGGCAGCAAGAAGTGAGAGCGGAGTTGAATGAATATATAGAAGGGAGCAGATACTGACAGATGGTCTGGGAGACTCAAAGGAAAACGGGCATGAGTCTCATCTTTGCTGGTCTGAAGTTATTATTAAGGACAGTGGTCTGGTGTACATGTCCTCTCAGGCATCCAGGAACTGGTCAAACAAGGACTAGTGCTCAGATGTCCTCCTTAAGTCACTTAATGGCCCTGGAGCCTGGGGTCTTGGCATCTGGGTGTTCAGAGTCTGTGGTCTTGGAAAACATTCACGAGGACCTCATCTGGCCACTCCTTAGATGTTATCAGTTGTGCTGGAAGCTTCAAAGAAATCATTAACTCCTTGACCTTTACAAGGAGGACATACATTAAGGCATGTATAATGTGGGGGTGCAGGTCCTAGCAAAATTAGAAGCAGGAAAAGGAAAAGAAAAAAGAATAGTTTTTTTTTTTTTTTTCATGAGGTCCCTTACAGTTTCCCTGTCTCAGTGTGACTTAGGAGTTCTAAATTTTGGGACGCCTGGGTGGCTTAGTTAAGTGTCTGCCTTAGGCTCAGGTCATGATCCCAGGGTCCTGGGATCGAGCCCTGCATCAGGCTTCCTGTTCAGCGGGGAGTCTGCTTCTCCCCTCTGCCTCTCACCCTGCTCTTGTGCTCTCGCTTGTGCACTCTCTCTCTCTCAAATAAAATCTTTTAAAAAAAAGTTCTAAATTTTGTCATATTCTTTTATGTAATAATTTCCATTAATACCGTTTAAGGAAATAGAGTGTATAAATGTTTCAGTATGTTTTAAGGAAATGAAAAATTAGGAACAACACAAATGTCCAGTGATGGGGCAGTTATTAAATAATGTCATGTTTTTTATGTGGTGTAAGTTTTACGTGATACCGAAAACTTCAGTTAGATAACCTAGCTTGGTTTCATCATACTTTTTAATATGAATAAACTCTAAAAAGCAGGATATAAATTGCTTATACACTGTAGTGTATACACATTTACAAACACACACACACCAAAGAGAGTGAACTCTGCTTTTGGTAAGTTTATGGATGAGTTTTTTTAACATTGAATTTCTCCATCTTCTGCATCTTCTAACCAGCCTTTTGAGAAAATTTAATGGATTAGAAATAAGAACAACATGAAATCTAATAGCTGACTGGAGGTTTCTCTAGCAGAATCTGTACCTTTTCACTGCAGACTTATTTATGTATAGCAATTCTCAAAATATAACCATACTGGAGAGAGGAGTTCTAATTAGAACACTGCTAAAATGGAAATTTCAGCTGTTAGCTTTTGCTGAAATACCCCTTAAATCTCAAATCGTGCTGAACTTCTTGATTCTTTGGATGACCCTTTGGGATTATAGTGAGTTTATTGAAAGAAACCTTTAAAAAACACTTCTGATTTTCTAAGTTTCACATTGGATTCAGGAGCTTGCTTACAATTTATCTTCTCTGGCTCAATTGTTTAGGGTTTCTTTTTTTCCCACAGATCCGGAGGCAGGATTGTTCACAGATATGATATAGTTTCTAATGCTTTAAGATGAAATACAATATAATGTATAAGGAGGTGTTAGTAAATTACCTAAAGAAAAAAATATAGTTACTGGTAGTATTTGTGGTACTCTACACCCTGGATTAGGTTGCATGTATTCTTGTCTGCAGTTCATAGAGCCAGTAGCATAGTTGAACCTCTTTTTTTTTCTGAGAATATTTGCCTGTTGAGGGACAACTTGGGTTGACAATCTGCCTATAAACTAACTTAAGAGGTACAAGATCTCATTTCTGCCTTTCATTGGGGAATACTTTCAAAGGCTGATTTGATTTTAAAAGGTCTATTTAGAAAAGAATTCTGGTTTTTGTCTTTTTCTAGTTGAGACATCACAGGCTTGAGGCTAGAGTGTCATGAACATACCAATAGAGTATGATTGTTCTTATTTAAGCCTTATTGTGTAATGCTGTTACTTTTTCAGAGTGTTGCAGAGGTAGGAATATGGGAGAGAAGCAATCTGGATAACATGAAAGTGATGCTGGTGTCTAAGGGAAGGCGACTTGATTCTGTGGGAAGGGCTATACCTGATCCATCTATTTTCTAGGTAAGCCTGCATTTGTTCCGAGGACTTCACCTGTGTTTGGCAAATTTTGGTGATAACTAGATCATGATTTCTATTTATCTTTAATTTGGGGAATTTCATCTTTATTATTGTAAAATGACCGTTGTCCATTAAAACAGTAATTTGTATAGTAAAACCTGAGTGAATCATTGGATCTTCACCATGTGAATGTCAATAGATTTTAAGTTTTTCTGCCAAGGGAAAACGCACTTGAATAAATGGGAAATACGTGAACAGACTAATATGCTGTGGATAGGAGCCAAATAAATATTGAGTGATTAGTATACATTAAGGCTTATGGACTCTATTATTTAGTTGGTAAAAAGTGTGTGGACAAGACCAAAATTGAGTATTGAGGGAAAAACTTAGTTGAACATTATAAGGTATACCCCAAAGACTTCAACCAGGCTCTTGATTTTAATTCAATACATTTCCTCCTGTCAACCATGAGGTATTGTATTGTGAGACTCTGATCATTCGGTTTGTCTGAACAAGAGGAAAATAATATATGTGTGAAATAGCAGATAAAGGCACTTTATTTATTTATTTATTTTATTTATTTATTTGAGAGAGAGAATGAGATAGAGAGAGCATGAGACGGGGGAGGGTCAGAGGGAGAAGCAGACTCCCTGCCGAGCAGGGAGCCCGATGCGGGACTCGATCCCGGGACTCCAGGATCATGACCTGAGCCGAAGGCAGTTGCTTAACCAACTGAGCCACCCAGGCGCCCCGTAAAGGCACTTTAAACAAAATCAATTCTCTATTCCAAAAGAAGGCCTACCTCCATATCCATTTAAAAAAGCAGTTTGGGGGGCGCCTGGGTGGCTCAGTTGGTTAAGCGACTGCCTTCGGCTCAGGTCATGATCCTGGAGTCCCGGGATCAAGTCCCACATCGGGCTCCCTGCTCGGCAGGGAGTCTGCTTCTCCCTCTGACCCTCTTCCCTCTCGTGCTCTCTATCTCTCATTCTCTCTCTCTCAAATAAATAAATAAATCTTAAAAAAAAAAAAAAATAAAAAAGTTTGGTCAGTGATGGATGTATGCATTTATTTAATATCATGGAAAAAACGTCATGAGGATAATTCCATAGTGTTCTTAGTTTTTAGATAATAATAGAGCTTAAATACTTGTAAAAAGTGTTTTGGAGAAATAATTATTAGATTTATCGTAGATTTCTAAGTTATAAGGTTTAGTGAATGTTCTGAATCCGAAGTTAAACATCTATATGAATATATCACAGAATTGCCAATAAATAGTGGTGAGAGTTTTGCTAATAAGACATATTTTATGGATAAGACAACTTGGAACAGTCATTTTCATTGGATGTGGTAAAACCAAGTCTATTTAAAAAATAAATGCCATAGATTTTTAATTAGAGAAGTCAGATTCTTGCAGATTATTACATCTCATTCTAAATAATGGGTGTAACCTTTTGAAAGACAATTTTTGAAGTCTGAACTGTCCGTGCAGTTGAGCTGGTATAAATTGTGGGTTTTTTTGTGGGGAGGAGGGGGAAGTTGGAGGCTACTTTATGTTCATATTTGGAAATCATGTTTTAAATCTGAAATCTGTTCTACAGATTTGAGTATGAGCACAGTTGAAGAGGATTCTGACACAGTAACAGTAGAAACCGTGAACTCTGTGACTTTGACTCAGGACACAGACGGGAACCTCATTCTTCATTGCCCTCAGAATGGTAGGAGAACTTGCTGACAGAATTGTGGATCTTTTTGAATTTTTGGATTTCATGTCACCTTTGATCCCTTTTACCCAGATAGACAGTTGAGGCTAGGACAGTAGAAAAGGGGGTTATCTCTTTGGATCATGAATTAACCTTAATTTATATTTTTATTTTTTTTAACATACCTTTGTATTTTTAAAATTTACCATAAATTTGAACTTTGAATCTCGTAGCTACAATCTGTTGCGCCTACAAAGATGATTATTTAACTGTAATATACTTCCCCTTTGATATCATTTGGTGCCTGCAGTGTATGTAGTACATTAGAAAATATGGAAGTCGTCCTGCCAATTTTTTTGCTAGTCTGTTAGAGGATTTTCCATGAATCTTTGAATAAGATTTAATGTGATTATCTGTAATCAATTAAGATTCCATAGCCTTGAGGCTTGTGATTTTGTTGTCACTTCTCTACCTATTCCTTATTTGTATTTACTTTTTATTTTGCTTTTTATCTTTGCTCAACCTAGGTTTTATCTTCTTTTCTCTCATTCAATACTTAATTTCTGGTTATTTTATTCAAACTTGGGATTTTAACTACCACCTACCTATTAAAATGATTCAAACTTCTTTTTTCTGAATTCTTTGTGTTTCTCATAGACACCTTAAATTTCACATGTTCCAAACTGAATTCTTTTACAAAATTCCCAGACCCAGTTCTCTTTCTCAGTCAATTTCATTACTTAGTAACCCACATCATAAATGTGGGTAGGAATAACCCTTCTCTCATCTCCTACGTTCATTCCATCATGAAAACTTGTTGATGGTATTTTGTTTCTTGAGTCCATTGCTTCCTTTGTCTCAAGTCCCACTTTCTTAAATTCCGAGTCTCATTTCTCACCTGGGAGGCCCTAGTAGCCTTTTAACGCATCTCCCAGCCTGAATTCATCTTTCAAACTGCTGATGACCTTGCTCATGATACTCAGTAGTGTAGGAAGGTTGGTTGGTTTGTTCTGTTAAGTGTCCTGTGGTTTGTACAGTACAGAGATGGGTATCTTCTGCACTTTCCTTCCAGCCTCGCTTCCTGCCACATTGCATATATCTGTGTCCCAGCGAGTCACAGCTGGCTTTTTTTCCTTCCATACCTTAAGCTTTTCATACCTCACTGTCACTGCAAATAATTATTCCTAGTGCCAGTAATGATCATTACCCCTGGCATCTGTTCATTCAAGTTCTTTCCAATTTAAGACACCTTCTCCAGGAAACCTTCCTTTACCCAGAGTCTAAATTAGATGCCTCTCCCCTCATTCCACCTGCATAGCTCTTAAAACACTATTTTGAAATGGGTACTTCAGTCATCTCCAGTACCCTGTGAGTTCCCGGACAGGGAAGAGTATCTGTCATTGTTCTGTTGCCAGCACTCAGAACATAGTGGGCATTCAGTAAATATTTGTGAGTGATTTAAATAAACAGCCCTTGTCTTAATATGTGAAATACTTGGAAAGACAGGTAGTTAGTAGCACAGAAGTGTGATGTTTAAAAAGTGGCGCCTCTCTTCTCATAGTTGTTGTCAGAAGCAGAGGAGCTGAGGTTCTGCACGGGGGACAGAGAAGGCGGTGCCGTTTGGGGTCCTCCTTGCACAATTGGGTTAACTAAGCAAACTGATAAGAAGATTGTCTTACAGTTACTTGTTGGAAGATTGTGGGTTTTCCTCATTGGTTTGAAGATTTTGAGATTTTTGTTTTGTTTTGTTTCATTAGAAGCTGATGAAATAGACTCAGAAGATAGTACTGAACCTCCACATAAAAGGCTTTGTCTGTCTTCTGAGGATGATCAGAGTATCGATGGTTCTACTCCTTGCATATCAGTTGTTGCACTGCCACGTAAGTCACTATGTGTTCAGAACAGAGGTCCCTTTTGAAATCACAGTGTAGCTTGGGAGACGTGGAATTGGCATTCCAAGGTTGACTTAGATCCATTATTTTTCTCTTCTTTGAGTCAAAAGAACTCTCAACTAATACTTAATGAGTGGGCGTGACTCTGAATGCTTCTACATATATTGCCTGTTTTGATCTTTTCAGCCTTTTTTTTTTAATTGTTGTCATCCTCCCCGCCCCAAACTTTTTTAGACGTTTTCTCCTAATCGTGCGCTCCCCCATGAAATGGTAATACCACAAATTTACTGTTGTTTTTTTAATGTCCTCTATGTGTGTATTGTCTTATTAATAAGGAGAATGCTTTCTTTCACCCACACCTCACCCAGAAGCATGTGTACCCTCATTGAGAAAGCATGCTGTAGAGTAGGTATTATGATCCCTGTTTTCTTTTTTTTTTATAAAAATTTTATTTATTTATTTGAGAGAGAGAATGAGAGAGAGCACGAGAGGGAAGAGGGTCAGAGGGAGAAGCAGACTCCCTGCTGAGCAGGGAGCCCGACATGGGACTTGATCCCGGGACTCCAGGATCATGACCTGAGCCGAAGGCAGTCGCTTAACCAACTGAGCCACCCAGGCGCCCTTGATCCCTGTTTTCTAATGAGGAAACTTAAGGCACAGAGAGGTATGAGAATTTGTCTAAGGTCATACCCAGGCATTCTGGTTCTTAAGAACTTTAATTTTGCTCTCAGCATCAAGCAAAATCACATCTTCATCCAGTTGGAAAAAATGAAGATTAGGTTTTCATCATGGCAAACCTTGTCTTCACAAGTAGACGTGCACTTTTTGTGTAGAGTTTATTGCTTATTCAATTGAATAGAAAAGAAACCATAAAATACCCGTTTACTGTGAGACTTTATTCAAAGACATTGTTAATGTTAATATTACTGATAATGCTTCCACTGGCATATATAAACATAACCTATTTCTGGTTAAATGAGCTTTTCCTTCTAGTGGTGGTTCATAAGATTTTTAAACTCCTAATTTGACCATCATAGCTGTGATCCACTCTTAAAACTCGATTCACCTGTCTGTAGAGATACAATCCTATATGGGCATTTACTAAGCTAGAATTTTTTAAAACTCAGATATAATTAGCCTGTAACATTATATTAGTCTCAGGTGCACAACATAATAATTTGGTATATGTATATGTTGTGAAATGAACATAACAATTCTAGTTAATATCTAGTCACCACACATAGTTACAGCTTTTTCTCTTGTGATGAGAACTTCCAAGATCTACTCTCTTAACAATTTCCACATATACCATAGAGTATTATTATCTATAGTCACCACATCCCCAGGACATAAAATGAAATGGAAATATTTATTTTACTAAGTCAGGGATTAGTAAGGGATTATTTTCACATAAATTATGACTGGTTAATTCATTTGGTTAAAGTTGACTACATTGGTCACAGTCACAGGTTCAAACTACAGTTGATATTTTGTTCTATTTTATGGTGTTAGACTGAATCCTTCACACACTCACTCACTTAACTGGGTAGGATAATTTGGATGTGCTGACCTAAAAGCACCTGAGCTGCTTGATGTGGGGTCATAGCATCATCATGTTTTGAGGACATTCTGGAGCCTAACATTTACAGTAAGACTAAGTTTATGAAACATGGGCTTGAAGTATTGTTCTCTAAATTGGTAAAAAAAAAAAAATAGTATGTTGATAAAATCAACTTAGGAAAACTTCTCCATTAAAAAAAAGTCACATAAACACATGAAGTCCTGTGTCCGTCACCGTCATCGGGAACTGACTGAATGGGCAGGTCATTGTTTGTTGGACTTCAGGGAAGTAAATATTATTAGCTCTTAAAGATTTAACTTCAAATTTAATTTTAATATTCAAGTTTTCATTACATGCTTTATAAAACATAAAAATTTATCTATCTGATCCTTAAAAATCCTCTTAAGTCTCATGTTAATCATTCTAGATCACTTACCACTTCTTACTGCGATTATCTACCACCACATTTACTCCATTCCCTTTTCACAGGACTCTTGGTGATTATTCATTTAGGTGACTGGTGCAATATCTTAGCCTCTTCTACCTTTTATTCTCCATACTACCTTGTTTATTACTCCCACTGCCTCCTTTGCTATCACCTATTAACTGGAGTCCATTTGTGATCTACTTCCAGCACTACGTCCTATGTTTCCAGGTTACTTCCTCTAATACTCTTGAATGTTTGCAGTCCTTTGCCCACTAGGACCCACTGATCTTACCACTTTTGCATTATTCTTTTCCACTTGTATCTTTTGTTTCCTCCCTACCCACTTTGTTTTGTGGTTAATCATTATAATCACTCTTGCATTTACCCTCAGATCCTTTTTTCCTTCTCTCACTTCATTGTCCTTTAGTGAAACCACAACCATTTAACAATGGTTAAATCTGTCTGGCTATTTATGTCTATACTGGCACAGCTAATTGAAAAACAGCACAAGCAAGCTAAGTGATCTTACTTTAAATTCATGATGATTAACTTGAAGTGGGCTCATACTGTTGACTGCCAGTCACACCACACTTACCAATGGATGTTTTTTCTCCTGCTCAGAGATGACTGTTTCATACATGCCTGAAACCTCTAGTATTTTCTCCACCTTTGTTACTCTCAGCGGATAACCTTGCTTCTACTTACTGAGAAAACTGAAGTAGTCCGAACAAGTTTCTGCAAGTTTCCACTACTACAGATACACACCCACATGTAGCCATGTCCATACATTCTGTTTTTTCTTCTAGCTATGGCCAGCCCTTCACTTTACTACCTACTCAGGAACACTGTCGCAGCATTTCTTTCCCTTCTTCTCTGAATCATCAGTTTTTTGTTCTCTACTGGATCATTCCCATCAGCATTGCAAACATACTATAATGTCTTCTTTAAAATAAAACGTCCCTGGGATGCCTGGGTGGCTCAGTCGGTTATGCATCTGCCTTCAGCTCAGGTCATGATCCCAGGGTCCTGGGATCAAGTCCCAAGTTCGCCTCCCTGCTCAGCGGGGAGCCTCCTGCTCCCCCTGCTTGTGCACGTGCTCTCTTTCTCTCTGTGACAAATAAAATCTTAAAATAAAAAAAAGTCCCATTAGCCCACTTTGGGCCCCCATCTAACTTCTTTCCTTTCCTTTAGAACAGGATACTTAAAAAAAAAAGAATTGATAGGCCTACCTCTATTTCTTCCTCCATTCTTCCTAAACCCACTCCAGTCAGGGTTTCACCTCTTATCAGTTCACCAAAACTGTTCTTCCCAGATCTCCAGAGACTATCTTGTTGCTAAGTCTAGTGGTGATTTTTGTTTGTTTGTTTCATTCTTCTTTACTTAGTCTAGCCACAATTTTTGACAATATTTATCACTCTGTCTTCTCTAGAACATTTTGTCATTTGGTCTCCAGGGAACACATTCCTCTAATTTTTTTTTTTCTACCTTACTGTCTGCGCCTTCTGAGTCTCTTAGGCTGACCTGTTCACATCTCCCCAGGCTCTTAATTGGAGTAGTTCAGGACTTAGTTCTTAGGCTGCTTCTGTTTCGTTTTCTCTCACTCCCTAGAATTCATGGTTTTAAATCCTATCTCAGGTGATGATGCCCAGATTTATTCCAGTCCAGACTTGCTCTTAATTCTAGATGTTTAACCTCAAACAAGTGTGTTAAAACCAAGCTCCTGAAATTTCTTAAATTCTAACATTTGCTTCTTCTGCAGTCTTCCTCATTTCATTAATGGCAGGTACATTCTGCCAATAGTGCAGATTTTTAAAACTTCAATAACATCCTGGACTTTTCAGTTTCTTTCATATTTGGTTTATCCACAAATCCTGTTGGTTCCCAAATCAAGGTATATCCACAATTTGAACTACTCGTCACCTCCACTTGCCTTCAGCCCTGGTCCAAGTTACTGACTTCTCTTACCTGGATTATTGAATGAGCTTCTTAACCGGTTTCACTACAGCCCTTCCTGCCTTCAGACTGTTGTCTCCTGAGGAGCCAGTGATCCCATTAAAATAAAATAAAAGTCAGATTATGTCACTCTGCATCTTCCAGTGGTTTCCTATGTGAGCATTAAAGCCAAAGTCTTTACATTGGCCTTGAAGTCCCCACACAGTATTTTAATGTTCTTGTTCAGTCTTCTCTTGTCACTCTGTCCTCCTCCCATTCCTTTGGACAGTCCATGTGTGCCCCTGTCTCAGAGTCTCTGCCCTTCGCTTCTGCATGAAGTGCTCTTCCCCAAGATGCCTGTGTGACTAGCTCCCTTTGTCACTTGGGTCCAAATCTTGGTTACTTTTCCTGGCCCGCCCCTCCCCCAATACATTCCCTTTTCTGCTTTATTTTTTCTATGTATCAACATCCGACATACTGTGTTCATTTTGTGTCTTCCTCACTAGAATATAAGCACCACGAAGGCAGGACTTTGTTTCATTTGCTTACTGCTGTCTTCCCATCACCCAACGCAATACCTAGTATATATTAGGTACACAATTTTTGTTAAGCATATATGGCAAGGAATGTGTTAGGAAATTAGATGGTCATGTATTTTTTTCCATGGATTTTTTTTTTTAATAATTAGAAGTTTTATTCTGCAGTTGAATTGTTCTTTTTTCTTGAAGTTTCAGAAAATGATCAGAGCTTTGAGGTGACCATGACTGCAACCACAGAAGTGGCAGATGATGAGATTACTGAGGGAACTGTGACACAGATCCAGGTATAGTGAGTCTTTTTACTGACCGCAAGAGGGATTATCCTTAACACATACCTTAGGTGATAAAATGATGAGAATATAATTTGTCTGACAAAGGACAGAATTGAGGTAAGATTTATTCTTTTCATTCAGGTTTCCAGTCCCCACTTACATGAATCTCAGAATAGTAGGCAAAGATAGAGTTTGAAAATTCATTCCCTGTAGAGTGGTTCACATCTGTTGAAACAGATGGTGCACGTGCATTCTTTAGCTGCATGGAATGATCTCACCTGAGCTATTAAATAACTTTAAATTTTATCTTACCAGTTATATAAGATATTGATACAAAGCTTTTGAAGTGTTACCCAGCAGTATCTCTAATGACTGATTTAGAAGGGCTACATATGTGCTCTGTTCTAATATGAATGGAAGCTATTCATTTCACATAGATATTATAACAGTTGTAGTCCCTTTTGGTGCCTGTAGGACTAAGATACCTTTTACCCTGAGTTAAGTGATTGGGTAACAAGCAGGGCTTACTGCTTTCCTTCCATGTGAACTTTGTCTCATATGAGTTATTTTTACCAAATGTAATCAGAATTCTTTGTTCTTTTAGGTAGCCTGGAGCTTAAATTTTACTTTTAAGTTTATGTCTGGCTGATTGTGCCTTTCTTTTTAGTATCTTGTCCTTTTGCTTCATTTCTTTATTTAATAGCATATTTTTGAAGTAGATAAAGACATATCATTATTTTTCCAATGACCCTTCAGTTAAGTGTAAAGGAAATCTCAGGTGGGTGCACTGTGAACCTTTTTCAACAGGGAGCTTTATAGTAGTTCTAGAATGACAGGATTTCTAGAGGAGTGAGTCTTTCATGTGCTTCAGACAGTTTTGAGTCTACCTAGAGATCCTTATCATCTACTCTTGGATTTCAGAGAGTGATTTGGACAGGAATTTTTTCCAAGTTCTCTGAAGCCATAGAGCACATTCTTCAAAATGGGGCTTGTCAAAGTCATTTCCAGTTCAAAGACTGTATAGTCTCACTTCAATTTCATTTTCAGCACAGTAAAAATAGCTGGGTATATATATGTGTGTGTGATTTGGTTTACAACCTACTTGTTAAAAGATTGGGCAATGGGTGAGTTAGACAAATTATAGTGTTGTTTTGTTTGGGTTATTTCTTAAGAGTTAATGAGTTATAATTTGATATTAGCCTCTTGGTTTGTAATTGCCATTTTAGTGAATGAAAAACGTTTAATAATTTCTAATATTTGTTTCATAAAAATACCATTAGGTTGTGAGTGAAAGCATAGTTCGAAGTTCAGAACTAGCCTGTTTATTGCTGTGTCCTGTGTCAAAGCAGGTGTAACTATTTCACATATTGCTGTAGTTAATGTACCGTCCCATTTCAGCTTTGGAACTAGCTGAAAAAATAATTAGAAACAAAAAAATTTGCCAATATTTATAGTGCTTTGTGGTTACAAGAGGTATTTAGTGGGTGAAATATTTAGATTTCCAAGTCTATGTATGTTACAGACATAAAACCCTACACAACCAAACCAACTCAGAAAGGCTGCATTTCAAAAACAGCAGCATACTAAATATATCTGAGTAATTTTTAAAAATGTATATATAAAGTAGTGAAAAATGGGGGTAAAAAACTGTAAAACTTCATATCTATATACTTAGACATCCTTTGAGGTATTTAAGTCTTCTGCTATGCCCAATTCATTTGCTATGGAAGGTGTTAAGTTTTACTGCTAAAATTTAATATTTGTTGGCTTCATTTGATGGCTATTTACGTGTTTACCATTTGCGTGTCTACTCTTTGTAAGTAATAATTGTATTTCTTCATCAGGGTAATTTGAGACAGAAGGCATTAGGTGTTTGCCCAAAAATAGCAGTTAATCAGCATGACAGGTGTATTCCTAAGGTTCAGAGAGTGGGCTGTATATTTAGACTCACTTTGGGAAATGGTGATTTTATTCTTTTAACCAGCTGATTAATACATAAGAGAAGGTCACCTCAGGAGAGTATTTTCTACATTACATTTCTTAACAATGGGTATTGTTTGTATCAGGGTCTTTTCACAGCAGTCTATCACCCTTAATAACCTCTGTGTCAGATCTTAGTTGGGATGTTCAGAATACAAGAGGCCTTAGACATTATCTGTCTGTCTGCATTCTCACCTTTATAAAGGTAGCTTCTTGATTTTTAAAACAAAAAAATCTAAAATGTATAACACATAAACATAGGGTGACAAAACTTTTCATACTTATTCCAGTGACTCTAGCTTTTTGTCCATGGATTTAAGAAAAGTGCTTTCTTAAATACAACATACTCATTACTCCCAGATAAAAAAATAACAGAGGTAACAGTAGAAACATGGCTTTCCTCCTCATTGTGCTTGGGTTGTTCACTGACAGCTTCTCTCTTCCCAAGCAGGGTGATTTCAGTTCCTCTTGAAATTAGAAATTCAGTTTCTGCCTATTCAAGGAATAGTCCAATGTCTGTTAGGACTTAACCTCCAGCCAGTGACATAGCTTAGTTGATCCAATCCGGAGACTGAACCGAGTGGAGTGATCCCTAGGCATGTGACTGTCCTCCTGGTCTGCCTATGATAGATGGATTTGTCCCTGAAATGGTAGCCCTGTTGCCACACCTTCCTTACTCACACTATAGCTATCTTTAGCCCAAGGCCAGCTCTCTTAAGTGGTTTTGTTCCTGCAGAATTTGTTAGATTAGGTATATCTGTAATTGAAAATGTACCTGGTGTGATAATTGCATAGATATACTAAAAGCCATAATTGCATAGATATACTAAAAGCCACTGAATTGTATACTTTAAAGGGTGAGCTTTATGGTGTGTTAATTATATCTCATTAAAGCTGTTGGTTTTTAACTGCACATTTCTCAGTAAAGACTACTTTAGCTGCAATAATAATAAAAAGTGATAACATATAGTTCTTTGAGAAGAAGGTACATTGATGAGGTTAGGAATTAGTTCTAGAGGTTGGCTAAAACAAACTTGCCAATAAACAATAAGGAGACCACGATTTTGCTGTCTTTTGATTTGGTCTATTAATCCTTTAAACTTAGCAAGAGATTACATTACAGATGACTGTATATTTTCGCAGCAAACTACCTATAAGGACCTGAACAATCATGACAGTCAAATGAAGCATTTCCATTTCATTATATGTATGAGCTCATTTTACATATATAAATAAACAGATAGCTTTAGATATCCTATATTGATTTAAGTACTTAATGGAACCTTAGCTATTCTATAAAATTTAGGCCACTAGTGCAGAGTTAACTTGCTTAAATGAAAGTCGTATTTTATTAATGCAGTCAGTTTTGTTTTCATACTGTCATAATAAAAACAGCAAAAAATACTTGTTTTTCTATAAAATGAATATATTTTTACTATATTTAAAGCAAGTCAATTCCACAGATTACATTATTTTTGCAGACAAAGATGAATCAGGTTGTATTAAATCAAGCTATACTTGTTTTTTTCTTTTACCTTTACCTCTTCAAGATTCTACAGAATGAGCAACTAGATGAATTATCTTCCTTGGGTAATGAGGAAGTTTCAGCAGTTAGCCAAGCATGGTTTACAACTAAAGAAGATAAGGATTCTCTGACTAACAAAGGTAAGATATAATGTGAATTTTAGTGTCCCTTGCGGGGGGGGGGGGGGGGGGGGGAAGGTAAGAAGAACTTGTAGTCATCAGGATTTTGAGGACTTCCTAATTGTGATTGAGTAGTTAACCATATTTGAGTTTTTGTGATTGATTAACTTTGGCTCTGAATGAGACCCTGAAACCAGCGTTTTATTTTTTAATAATTAATCATAATTTCTCTGAGATGCAGTAAATTATAAACAGATGCACAGTGGTGGCATTTAAAAGAAAGTACAGTTACTGCACATGGGAGTGGGAAGTCTTTTCAGAGATCTAACTTTGATAAAGCGGCTTAGAGGTTTAAAGTAAGTGTTTATAGTGCTACGGAGTTCATGAGGATTGGTAGGGAGCTGCTACAAGAAAGTAGGGGGTGTGTGTATGCCACTCTGAAGTTCAGAAAAGGAATTGTTTTCAACCACTGCATAGTAAATACTCATTATGAATATATTATTCACTTGGTATCCAACATATTATGTTGGATATGTTGTTTACCTTGGGAATTACCTACATTTTATTCCCACGGATAATTTATTTAATCACAAAGCAAATCTGCAGTGTTCTATTCCTCTCGAGGGATAACATTTTCTATAACATTATTTCTTTTCCTTTAAAGGACATAAATGGAAACAGGGGATGTGGTCTAAGGAAGAAATTGATATTTTGATGAACAATATTGAACGCTATCTAAAGGTATTTTATGGCTTATTTTTTTGTTTCACAAATTTTTTCATTGCCAATTGCAAAAACTATCAAAGCATCATTGTACTTTACAAGGAGCTTTCCAGTAATTTTTGTAATGGATGATTGGTTAATATGTTATAGCTTCATAATTGTAAGGTATATGATTATAGTATATTTCTAAACACATTTGGAATTCTTAGTTTAAAATAGCTGTAATGCGTTAGTTAGCACCTGAAGTTTGGACAAAATCCTAATAGCTCCTCAGAATCTTAAAGCCCTGTCTTTTCAAGCAGCCTATAGTTTAAGCTTGTATTGTCTACAGCCTAAGATATACGTCTTCTTTGAATTTATGACATGAGACTCTTCCCCCTTTAAAAAAAAAATGAATAATTTAGTTCATTTTCCTATTGAGGCTTATATGCTGTTAGCTAAGTCATCCTTTTCATTAAACGTCTCTGGAACATAGTGTTTTTGAGGTACTGGAGATGTGAATTGCCATAACACATGGTATTGGCTTTTTAAAAGCCAGCAGTCCATTTGGGAATGTTGAAAGCAGACGAAGAGCAATATAAGGCTTTGTACCATGTGAGTGATACATGTTGTGAATTCTGCGTGAGATCGGAGAAGGAAGAGTATATTCTTAGGGTTAGGACAGTTACGGAGAATATTTGGAAGAGCAAGGATTTGAGTGGAGTCTTAAAGGAATAGAACTTGGGCTAGAATGGGTCTGGAGGAAGCATGAGCAAATGCTGAGCACCAGGGAGTCAGAAATGAAACCCAGAGCACAGTAAATTAGCCCCTTTAACTTGCACTGAGTCATTAGCCTCTGGAAACTTGGCTTTGAAGTCCAGTCCAAAGAACTAGAACTCTGTCCCATAGGAAATGAGAAAAACTAATAACCTAGTTGAGTGAGGGATTGGGTGGAGTAGGTCTGTGCTCTTCTCAAGGAAATTTTTCCAGTTATTTGCAGACCATTCCCTTAAAGGAGTTAGTGCATATTTGAAATACATACCATCAGCATTGTTTGGGAATGGGAGGTGTACAGTATTTATTTAACCATTCTCCTATTGTTTCATACTTAGGTGGTTTATATAATTTTTCACTATTATAAATACATTGTTGCCTAGAATGTCCACATTCTTTTTTTCCCCCCTTAAATAGTTGTTTATAAATGTCCACATTCTTAAACCTAATTTTAATCTACACTGTTCCCAAGCTAAGCTCTGTAAACTATAAAGAGTAAATAAAAAACTTCAGTTCTTTGTTAATGAATAAAGATCCTTCCCACCAAACTAATTTTTTTAAGAGAAACACAAATACAGTGACCATTGAAAACGTGTATGTCCACTGGTCACATACACTTTAGTTAAAACTTGGAAAATGCTGCAGGTTTAGATAAGGCAGTAATGAATGGTAAGAACACTGAACTTTGGGAATTAAGAAGCTGGTTTCATGTCTAGGCGATTGGAGTAGATGGTTTCCAAGGACCCCTTCAACTCTATGAATAAAGGGCGGGAATGCGACTGATATTGGAGACCTTTTAGAGGACCATTTCACTTGACCAGATGAGAGTAATTAAGGGCTCCATAAACTACAGTGATGGCAGAATTGGCAGGGAAAGGGCAGATGAACAGGTAGTCTCAAAGGATGCCTGGTGACTGGATGTCCGGGAGGAGGGAAAAGGAGGATTTGGAATAACTTCAGAGTGTTTTATTTCGGATGCCTGGGAGAATGATGAATGGATGGGCAGAGATAGGAAATGTCCAAAAAAGATGTACTCATCTTGGGAAAAGGTATCTTGTTTGATAGTTGACCATGGATTTTATTATGTGCTGCTGTTTAAGAACATTGTGGAGCCATTTGTAAACCAATTAATTAGACATCAGAGAAGTGAAAGTAACTGCTACAAGTGGAAAAAAGCGAGCGCGCAGAAGGATCTTTTCATCTCACTATATGGTCATCCTGCAACACAATGCCTTTCCGATATTTAGACTTGTAAATGTCAGGTTTAATTATTTGCAGAACTGGCATAAGAGAATTTTAGATTGTAAAATTTAGAAACTTTGGGGCACCTAGTTGGTTCAATCAGTAGACTGTGACTCTTGATCTTGGGGTCATGAGTTCAAACCCCATGTTGGGTATAGAGATTACTAAAAAAAAATTTTTTTTAATAAAAAAATAAAATGTGGAAACTATTTACTGTGAAGTTTTATACATTCAAAAGAATGTATGAAATACGTATCAGTGTAGTTTTACCTCTTTTTGAAATTTGTGTAAACAGATTCATTCTCTGAGTGTTCTGTAACTGGCTTCTGTTGTTTATTGTGATTTTGTGATCCGCACCCTGTTGATTTTTTTTTCTTAGCGGTATTTCACTATGCCAATGCATATACTGTAAGTTACCCATGCATAGTTAACGGTTGTTTTGGGGCTTTTTAGTCTTTTTGCTATTTGTTTATACAAATTTAATGGGTGTGAATGGTATTTTATTATGGATTTAATTTGTATTCCTCTGGTTACATACTTTTATATGCTTACTGGCCACTTTTTATGTTTCCTCTTTGAAATTCCTGTTTGCGTTTTTCATCAATTTTTTATGGGGTTATCTTTTTCATTTTTTAGACATTCTTAATATTAACGGCTTTTTGTTTATTTGTATGACAGATATCTTGTCTCAGTTCAGTGGCCTATCTTTTCCTTCTCCCTGGGGGTCATTTGATGAAAAAAGATTCTTAATTTCAATATCAAAATCATTATTCTTTCATATTTTGCATGGTTATTTAAGAAATTCTCCTCTGCTTCAAGAGCATAAAGATACTGCCCTATATATTGTCACATAAAAGTTCTATAAGTTTTGCCTTTCTTGTTGATTTTTTTTCCTATAGCTCTGAGATAGGGTTTCACTGTTGGGGTTTTTTTGGTTTCATATGGAAGATCGTTGTCCCAGCATCACTATGGAATGTTGATCTTCTCCCAGTCTACAATGTCCATTTTGTCCCAAGTCAAGCTTCCCCAGACTTGTTCCTGTTTTCTAACTTGTTCCCAGGTTCTGTTTGTGGATACTTGCCACTAGTATAGATAGCACTATCTAGAGAGATCAAAGCATTCGATGGGGCAAGTCTCTTCATGATTGTCTTGGCGCTTTTTGGCCCATTGCTCTTGCATTATAAATTTAGAACCGAGTTGCAGAGAATGGAAGAACGTTGGAATTTTTATTGGGACTGCACTGAATCTGTGCATCAATTTGAGGGTAATTAACATCTTTACAGTATTCCATCTTCCTATTGAGAACATTGTATACCCTCCATTGTAGTGGCTTCCTATTTAATACCTTTTGGTACTTTGTTTTCCTCCACAAAGGACTTGCATCACTTGCCTAAGATTTAGTCCTGTTGTTTTTAATTATGATGTTACTGTAAATGAGAACTTTTAAACTTTTTCTGATCTTTGTATAGAAATGAAAATGACTTTATATATTGATTTTGTAACCAGTATTTCCTACTCTTAAGTTTCTACATATATAACACCTGTGAATGATTTTTTCTTTTTCAGTCTATACTTTTTATATATTTTTCTTTTATTAGGTTATCAGCAAATCCAAACTCGATAGGAATATAATCACATATGAATGTTCTATGTCATGAATGTTCTTTCCATATCTATATCTATAGATACTTTTTCCATAAATTTAATATTTAATGCTGTAATAATAACAGGTTTTTTTTTTAGTTAACACGAAATTCCTGGAATAACCTCACCTTCTGTATTGATCACTGACCTTGTTACACATTGCTGGTGCTCCATATTTTAGGGACTAAGGGGATCTGTGTTACAGAATGAGCTTCCCTGAAAATTTTCTGAAACTGTCCTTGTCTGGTTTTGCTCCTGAGGTTATGCTAGCCTAATAAAATGAATGAGGAAGTGTCCCCCCTGTTTTTCTATCCCCAGAATAGTTTAAAATCAGAATTATGTTTCTCTTGATTGTTTGGTAGGATTTACCTGTAAAGTTATGTGGGCCTGATATTTCCATCGTGAAAGATTATTAATAACTGATTAAATTTTCTTGGTGGTCTGTGCTTATTAGATTTTCTATCTCTTCCTGAGTCTCTTTTGGTAAGTTGACTTTTTCTAGGACTTTATTCATTTTATATAAGTTTTCAAATTTATTGTCATAGAATTTTCACAATGTTCAACTCTCTAATCTCTGTACATCTCTGCTTAGGCCCCATTTTTTCATTTCCAGTATTGTTTTGTCTTTTAGTTTTGCCATAGTTTATCTTTTCATATTTTATTAGTTTTGATGAGTCTTTTTTAAAGAACCATTTTTTAGCATTGCTTGTAGTTTCTGTTATTTATTTGATTCCTGGTTCCATTAATTTTGTTCTTACAATTTTCTTCTTTCTTTAGATATTAATTTTTTATAATTTTAAAAGGGGTTGACACAACTTGACTTTATTGAATTTAATAGTTTTTGAAGCATTTAAATATCACTTTATTATCTCTTGAAACATTTTAAAGTTTATATTTGACTTACTATTTTTCTAAATGCCATTGATGATCCTGAACATAAAAAAACAACTTTTAAAAAGCATAGTATATCCATATGCATTTTATCAGAAATCCCTAAATCAAAGAAATGTAACCCATTTAGGCACGCGGAATAAAAGATGCTACAGAAATCATCTTTGAGATGTCAAAAGACGAAAGAAAAGATTTCTACAGGACTATAGCATGGGGTCTGAACCGGCCTTTGTTTGCAGTTTATAGAAGAGTGCTTCGCATGTATGATGACAGAAACCATGTGGGAAAGTATGAAAACTTGTAATGCTGCATGTTTTCATGTAATTAGGGGAAATATTTAAAGAGCTATCTTTTTTTAAATATAGTTATGATGAGAATTTTAATTGGAGACAGCTATGAATTACTGTTTGCTGTGTTAATATTTTTTTTCTCCAGGTCCATGTTGTAAATATGGAAATCTCATTATAATAAGACCTCTTAGAAATTAGAATCTCAATCACCTTATATATGTCAGATTTTAGACTTAGCTGTCTTCATCAAAGTCTGCTTTGTAATAAAGTAATATAATAAAAATATTATAGTGGTTAAAGATTTAGGAAGTTGGAAAAAAACCCTCTAAATTCATTGGTAACATTGTTCCTTTTTTTTTTAATAGTATAGCCTTTCCTAGGTTAGTGACTTTTTATATACATATATATATATATATAAAACCAGAGTGGAAAATAAATAACTAAATTTCTGAATACAATGCCTGGATTTCTGTTATAGGTAACATTTATGGGAAGGCATCATTTTTTTTTTCAATGCAATGATTCTTTGGTGTTACATATTTTTAGTTTCTCTTTGAGAATTTTAGGTAGTTATAGTATGGCTTATTAGATACTGCTTTAAAAAAGAACATTGCATTGGCTGTATTGAGTACTTGCCCTCTAAAGAAAATGAGCCTTTACATTGGAGCAAGAGTGTGGCAGATACCCATGCATGGGTAAGGGAAATGAAGAGAAGTTTTTTAAATTTTTTGGTGCCTTGTGAGAATTTACCATAGATTTGCATTTTGCCTGTGGTTTACAATGAATGTCATGCATAGCTAAATTAGAGGGCCTGAAACCAGTTTTGAAATAATGGAAGATTTAAAGCAGAATAGGAGCAAGTATGTTTTAAATGTTGAATTTTCCTAGAGAAAGATGTACATTGCTCACTTTTATTATAGCTAAAAGTATTTTTTTTACAAAAAAGTAGAATTAGTTTTTAGTAATTTACTTTGAAATTGGTTACTTTAAAAATATTATCAGTATGCTAAGTGATTTGACATTTGGCTCCCTAAGTGAAATTCTGATTTATATTAAGGTTTTTTAGCATTCTTTGTTTTAATTGATCTTTTTAAAAATCTCTTTAAATTCCTAGATATACACCTGAAGAAATTGAAAAGCTCAAGGAGTAAGTTTAAAATTTTTTTTCTTTTCCTGAATTCTGATAGTTGGGTTTTAACTTTTCTAATACCTTTGTTTTTTAAACTTTTACTGTGGAAAATGTCTAGAGATTTTGAATAGACTGGTATAATTTAATCCTGCTATAAGCATGATTGACCATAAAAAGAACTTTTCAGATCCATACATGCACAGAGTAGCCATGCCCATAAATTTCGTCTTTTCCTATAGTGAGTTGCTGAATGAAATGTGTCCTCAGACCACTAATAAGGGTTACAGAAGATTAGATGGCCTTCTTGGTGGCCTGAAGACTAAATACCAGGAACTTTCATACCAGGATCAAAACCAGGGTTGTGCTACATGCTTAGTTTAGAATGGTGACTTAGCAAATGTTTCACTGGGCGAACTCTACTTTATGAAGGCTATTTCGCAGGAAAAATAATTTTCTTTGTTGAGTAGGGCCATAAAGTATGGGTTAATGGATTGTATGGATCGTGGAAAAAATTGAAGGTTGATCCTCTTTATGATGGTAGCAGCTTGGGAAACTTTTTCAGATGTCTGAGAAGAGCTGGTTAGGAGTACTGAAAAGGGAACAATCTGGGGATTGCCTGGGAGATTGTGTCAGTAACCTGAGGGGAAATTTGGTCTTTTTTGAACACATATCCAAGTTACTTATTTCTTCTCTGACCCAGGAAAAAGGCAATTGCTGCCTGTTTTTTTTTCACCCACAGACAACTGTGGACCCCAAAAAAAGGCCACACTTTCAAACTTTGGCTCTCAAAGTATTGCTGCCCACAACTTCCAAACCAGTCAAATGGGAAGAAGAAGAATGAAGAATAAATGATGAAATTAAAAGGGAGAAAACAGTTGAACCCAATGTTGATTGGCAGACTCTTGTTTTAGGCTCCGGATAAAGCATGGCAATGACTGGGCAACAATAGGGGCGGCGCTAGGAAGAAGCGCATCTTCCGTCAAAGATCGGTGCCGACTGATGAAGGATACTTGCAACACAGGTACTGTGAGCGCGGCCGATGGGCTGCTCTTGTCTCCGTCGGAGCTTCCCACCCCGTCACATCCTGCTTTCTCTTCTCTTCTGGAAAGAAATTTGTCATTCACTTGAGTTCACATTTTATTTTCTAGTCTTCCTTTTTCTTCACGCTTTGTAGGCCCGAGTAATCCTTCATTTTTCTGCTTTTGTGAGAGGTGACCTTGTTCACAGGGACGCATGTCCTCAGTTTCCGAGGTTTTAGGTGTGGCATGTTTCCATTTTGTAGCCACTCAAAACTGCTCCAGTTGGGAAAGTTGTTATTAGGTTTATGTTCAGGAAGTAGTTTTTATTTATTTATTTATTTAAGAGAGAGAGAGAGAGAAACAGCGTGAGAAGGGAGAGGGTCAGAGGGAGAAGCAGGCTCCCCGCTGAGCCGGGAGCCTGTTGTGGGACTCGATCCCAGGACTCTGAGCCGAAGGCAGTCGCTTAACCAACTGAGCCACCCAGGCGCCCAGGAAGTAGTTTTAATTTAAGCCCATCTAACTGTTGAGCTTCTGTTAACAACAGCTTATCCACTCATGTTTATAAAATCTTAAAAAGTTATCTTTCAGTGCTGTGGCTCTGTTTTGCTTATTTCAAACAAGTTAAGTATATTTTTCCATAGAAAATACTTGTCATTAGTGTTTCCGTCTCTAGTACAGACCACAAATGCCTATTTAACTCTTAATATATACAAATGCACTGATGATACTGTTAAACCTACCCTTTGTGACCAACAACAGTATTGAGGCTCCGGCACTAGCTCTCACATAACTTTTCTGAGCCTCAGTCTCCTCTAAAATGAAGAGTTAGAAGAGGTGATCTATAATTCTCATATATGAGAAGGGAACTATGATCTCATAGTTCCCTTTTAGCCCTCAAATTCTCTGAAGGAGCCACAATCTGCTCAGTCTTTGAATCAGAAAAATAGTTCCCAAGTTAAGCTTCCAGGTTATATATTTTCTTTTTTCACCTCCCTACCCCGCCAAAGTGGAATCGGGAATATTTCCTGCTTAACCATTCATTCCACCAGCCCTGTGACCTGCAAGACATTGAGAACATAAATCCCACCAACTCTTGTCATTCTGTGGTTAATGACAGCTTAATGAATGAAGCAGGAATAGGAGCTCTAGATTTAGGATTTGACCCCGGAGTTTTATGTAAGGCACTGTGAGTACAGAACCCCGTTTGTGGCCATGCTAAGTAGAAGAGCAGGACTTTGTCTTGAATATATGGTATCCAGAACTGTGCCTAGAACATAATAGAAGTTGAATAAATGTTTGTTGAATGAATGAATCCCTGATGCAAGCACACAGCTCTTTTGAAATTTTCTAGACATTTTTAGCTACTAGTAACAAAATGGAAACAGAAGTAGAAGGATAAAAAAAAAAGTTTTTCTGCTCAAGTTCCTTAAGAAAAGACCAAGAGGATCATTTGGTATCATTACTGGTTTATGGCTTTAGGAAAACCTGGAGTAAAATCGTGTGAATACCAGTCTCAGACTTCCGTTTTATCACAGTACCTTAGAGTTGGGATAGTGGGGAAAGGAGATGGTATAAACCTAGTTTCCATTTTTACTTAAGTGGGTAGGAGCCCATAGGAGTTACTCCACTTGTCTCTCATCGTTCATTCCTCTAATGAAGGATCTCCATTGAGCTTACCATGAAGCTCTTCCCACTTAGGATTAGTGCAACTTGACAGTGTATAATTTTTTCTAGGTATGTATTGCATAGTTTTTCTTTCCATAAGGAGTCAGTCAGTATTTTCTAGTAGGATTCTATATCTTCTTTTGTAATCAAGAACCTTACTGGGCTAGTCAAGCGCAACCGTCTTAGTAGATATGTGCAGATTCCCGCCCCAGGGTCGTTCAGAAATAACTTTTGGTGCTACTGCGTACTTGCATCAGTCCTTGGAAATACAGGGCTGAATCTGATTTGCAAAAAAAAAAGAAAAAAAAGGTAGCAGTAGTGGTCTAGATGATTTCCTTCTTTCAGGGAAGTGGACGGAAGAAGAGGAAAAGAGACTTGCAGAGGTGGTTCATGAATTGACAAGCACTGAGCCAGGTGACATAGTGACACAGGGCGTGTCATGGGCAGCTGTGGCAGAGCGAGTCGGGACCCGCTCAGAAAAGCAGTGTCGTTCTAAATGGCTCAACTACCTGAACTGGAAACAGAGTGGAGGTACTGAATGGACCAAGGAAGATGAAATCAATCTCATCCTCAGGTTTGTGTCGTTAAGTCCTTTAATAACAAAAGCTGCTTAATAGCTATAGTTGTCTTGATTGGTATTTCCTCATTTGGTTTCCCTAGATGCCTAATGTCTGAAAAGCATCCTTTCCGTAGAGAGAGGATCCATGGAGGATCTTTCAGATCCTATGCATTTCATATTGAGCTTTTTTTTTTGTTTTGTGTTTGTTCCTTTTTAGTGGATTTAGTGCTCGTGCAAAGTACCAGATTGAAGGCATGGAGACTGAAGTCCTCTCTCTGTCCACAGAACAGGTACGGCACAGACAGTGGCCCTGCAGCTTGCCACTGTCCCACCAATGTGCCTCAGTGCTAGCAGAGGGGCTCCATGTGCAGGGGAAGAGGGCTCTTCAGTCTCCATGCCCTTCAATCTTGGGCTCCTGTGCTAAGATTGCCAAGAAGGGGGCCCAGTCTGCAGTTGCCCCACACCTTCCCACTGGCCCCAGTCAGGCACTTACCTTTTTTTTTTAAGTTAGTCGGTATAATCATTAAGACTCAGTGATTCAAGTGGGCAGAAATACCAACAAGAAAATGTTTGAGACACTGAAGTAATAAAAGCTACTCCCTCCTGAAAATGAAAATCATCATGACAGTTGAAGCTAGAAAACAGACCATTCATACCCTGGATTGAGTGGTACTATCATGTTAGTGGTTTTTGTTTTGGTTGCTGCTGGAGTATTGTTTTTGTCTTTCTAGCATTTTATTTTGGGTTTTGTTTTTAATATACTTCTTTCAACCAGTCATCTGCAAATAGCTCGTTTCTCAACATTTTTATTACAGATATGGAAAAGCTCAGATCTAGGAAATAACTTGCTATGACACACTCTGAAACATGGCAAAACACTATATAACCCTGTTCTTACCCACTTCTAACCTTTAGCTACTCCCCTGCCTTTACAGTGCCTCATCGGCTTCTGACTGTTTACGGTCTGGCCCATTGCTTGTACCATTAACAAAAGGCTCTTGCTAGTGCTCAGTCATAGGTCTCAGCTCTGGGAGCAGTTCTGCACCCTTGAAATCCTTTCCCATGCAGTTAACGGTAGCTTCTCCGTGACAAAAGCTGCTGTCCCCTTTATTGCCAGTGCCATCATGTGTAGTCAGAGGAGGGTTCTTCCAGAGAAATCCATTAACAGACTCTAACAGACGTTTGTTTTGTAACCTGTAGGATAGCAGAGCTTGATGTAGCGGATGAAAATGACATCAACTGGGATCTGTTAGCGGAGGGATGGAGCAGTGTCCGTTCACCACAATGGCTTCGAAGTAAATGGTGGACCATCAAAAGGCAAATTGCAAATCATAAGGATGTTTCATTCCCTGGTAACGTATTATTTGCTTCTTAAGTACTTCCCTTGTCTTACCATATTTACTCCTCAAAACTCACTTAGTCAGAAGTTCTTTGCCTCAGCTAAAGAGTTACGAATCTTAGTAGATCTTCACTTAAATATCTCCTCTATTTCTTTGGGTAACTGTCTTTTCTTCCCTTGAGGAGTTGATGTGATGTGTAATTCTCAAAGCACCTAAGACTAAAATATACACGTTTATACACATTCTTGTTCTCATATAAACTGTGAAGAAGAAAACAATTTTATATATTGTGTACAAAAATGGATTTCTGAAAACTTAGGTTTAAATCAACTTTTATGTGTTGAATAATTTCACGTATTCCAACTGGGTTTGTCATTTAGAGATTTTCTTGGTGGTTTTATAGTATAAAGACTATAAATCTATAATTCATTTATTATGTAAATCTAGAGATCTTAAGTTGGGTTTGCTTAAAAGTGAGGCATAGCAGCCTGCTTTGCGCTGAGGTGCAAAAACTAAGTTGTCCAGTCCCTTTAATTAAGGCAATCAAATTCATTCCCCTTAGTATAGTGCACCATTTTTCCCAAGGAAAATTAAATGCTGAAGAACTTTGGCTTGATGAAAATAAGATTTTTTAAAAATTACGTAGTTATAAATTTATAAATCGAATGAATACTAGTGTGGCATGAACCCACCCAGATTGCAGTTATCACCTGAGAGCATTGGTAGCTTATCCTGACTAGTGGAATGGGGCAAGTCTAGATTTGACTTTCCTGCACAAGAGTTCAAGGTGGTTGCATATTACTGTTTGGAAAAAATAAGCTGCTACTCTGGAGTTGTGAGTTAAACTAAAACAGTCAAGCATCCTTGAGTACTTAGTGTGTGTGGAGGAAAAGTACACTATTCACTTAAGAAAGGAAATAGGCTACTTTGCATTAACAATATTCTTCCTAAATAGTAAGAATTTTATCCTGAAGCCCTAGGACATAGCGAAGGTTTTATTTTCATGTTCCTCACAATGGCTATTTTTTTAATGTATCTTAGGTGGCAAGAATAACATTATGTTAGGAATTTTTTAAATTTCTTGTGATGGATAATGTTTCCAGAAATTTCCAGACGGGTTGTAGCTTTAAAATATTTTTATTGTTATTTTGCTGAGATCTCACATGCAGTGTACAATTATTTATTCCAAATACTTTCCCTCCTTACCCCCACCTCCCTTGCTGCTTAGATGGTGGTCTGTCGGAGAACCAATGTTCTTTTTGTCTACCCATCTCCCTTCAGTCTTAATAAAAGGTCTTAAACAGTTACATGAGAATCAAAAAAACAACCCAACGCTTTTGGAGAATAAATCAGGATCTGGAGTTCCAAACAGTAATTCCAATTCCAGTGTACAGCATGTTCAGATCAGAGTCGCCCGCTTGGAAGACAATACAGCCATCTCTCCAAGCCCCATGACAGCCTTGCAGATTCCAGTCCAGATCACCCATGTCTGTAAGTGTTTACTGGAGACTCCTTGCTATTGGACCTGTATGATTTGGTAACAGCTCTAACACCTTTCATTCTTCTAGAATGTTGACAGGAATTTGTGCAAGTTGACAGAGGCACTCTAAGGCATTTTACAATTGAGCAAGGAAATAGAGGTCCTAAGGTGGCACATCATTTGTAGTAATCCACCAGAAACACACAAATTGGGGGTGGATTTGAAGTCGTGTGTAGAAGAAATGATTTTGATGAGATTGAAGATTTTCTTCAGGAAGTAAAGAGCCAGTTTCCTGTGGGAACTCTTTTGTTTATTCTTTTTTTTTCTTTGCCTCTGATATTTTTTGTGTTTAATGAGATTATGAGAACCGAACAATTGTATAGGGAGAGGAAATTTATTTCCTGCAATCTAAGCCAAGTTTGATAGTTCTTTTTTTCCATGGTAGAGTAACAGAAAAGGAAGGAGAGTAAAATTCTCAGAACCAGATGGTTCTTCACTTTTTTCTCATTTCTTTTGTCTACCTAAATGCCATGCCTATGGAAAGGTCATTACCAAGAGTATACCAGTTGCTGTATGTTATTCTCAATTGGGATTATTGGCATTTTGAGTGAGATAATTCATTGTTGGCAGGACTGTCCTACACATTGCAGGATGCTGTGTCCCTTGCAGTAGTACTTCCTAATCACTATGGCAAATAAAAACACCCTAAGGATTTTCACCTTTTTGAGAATCACTGGGCCGGGTGACACTATATATATTCGTATATCCAATGACTATCAAAGTTACCTTGGGGACCTTCAAACTAATCATGCCTGTCTTAAAATTCTGATTTAAGTTTGGGTATTTGCTTTAGCTTTCTACCAGTGTGATAATGCATGAAGAATTTTTCTTTAGCCCTCTGCTTATTTAACTTTATAGCCTGAAGAATTACAAAGCAACTGAAATTACTGGTCCACCGTAAATATGAGAGCTGTTGGGTATAGATTGTGCACAGAGATTGTTAGAACTCTCCTGGGCTGTTTGGTGACTGTACTTATGGGGAATGCAGACATTTTAGATTTGGGACTTTAATATTCACAGGATGGCTTTTTTTAAAATATGTAATTCTATTTCTTCCAGCAAGAAATGTTGGTAAGAGTTTTAATACCGTATCAGTTATTCTTTGCATTCAGGCTAAAATCTCATGATTGTTTCTTCCTTTATGTTAGGAGTCAGGGACTAGCAAACTTTAAAGCCAGAATAGTAAATATAAACATGTTAGACTTAGCAGCCCACATAAGTCTTTGTGGAATTTTCTGGTTTTTAAACAATCTTTTAAAAATGTAAAAACCATTCTTAGTCTTGAGCCACATCTGCCCCTGCCCATAGTTTGCTTACCCATGCTGAAGGTTATTTATCTGGAATCACTTTAAATTATTCTAGGTATGATCTTAAGATTCCATCAGATAGAGAAATAGTAACATGAATCAGGTGCATTTCTTTTGAAAGGTGTCTCATTTCCTTGCCAACTGAGAAGTATTTTAGTCGGAAAAAACACTGCACATTACAAGATGATTCCAAATTCTTTTTCACATGGATTTAACTACACGTGCAATTGAAAGCACCGAGATCCACGTTTCGTCTAGTCTTAATTCCTTATAACCTTGATCAGGTGTAACCAACACTGCTCAAGTCTAAAGCCTCAACTGACACACCCATAAAGAGATTATATACTGTGTGATCTCTAAAGCACTGTTCAGTCTCCCCAAATGTGTTCTTCTGGGCTGGGCGGAGCAAGATGGCGGAGGAGTAGGAGACCTGGATTTCGTCTGGTCTCAGGAATTCAGCTGGATAAGGGATCAAAACATTCTGAACACTTGTGAAGCCAAATGTGTTCTTTTTTTTATTTAGAGATTTAAGACAGAGCACAAACCCGGGGCAGGAGTTGCGCAGAGGGCAGACTCCTCACTGAGCAGGGAACCCGACATGGGACTCGATCCCAGGACCCTGGGATCATGGCCTGAGCTGAAGGCAGACGCTTGACTTGAGCCACCCAGGCGCCCCTGAAATAATACTATCTTATATTTCATGTTTGTGGTTCCTCCCAACAACTACATGAGGTAGGCAGGACAGATAGTCTCTGAACATTAGTAGGTTCAAAGCAAGCTATTTGCTTGGGAGTAATGCTGCTCGAACAAAAGCCTGGTTTTGGGGACTAACGTTCCAGGAATCCATACTGCTTATCAGATTGTCCAGGAAAATTTATTTTTTACCAAGTTCCTATTGACTTGTAAGTTAGTTCTTAGGGTATTCCTCTTCTAGAACTATTTTGTGATCTCTACCAAGGCTTAGCAGATACTCTCTGGAACAGCTAGTCAACTCTGCCCTTATAGTACAGAAGCAACTGTGGAGAATAAATAGGTGTGGCCGTGTTCCTATAAATACTTTTTACAAAAACTGGTAGTGGGCTCGATTTGGATATGAGCCACGGTTTGCTAACCACTAACCTGTGCCATCCCAGGTAAATCTGTTAGATTCCTTCTCGTAAGAAATGCAAATGACTTCCGGTTTCCAGGCAAATTATTCACTATGAGACTACGTGTTTTATTTTGTTGTCCTTGTTCCTACCACAGCTTCAACAGAGTCCCCTGCTGCTACTGTTGACTCAGAAACAATAACACTAAACAGTGGAACACTACAGGCATTTGAGATTCTTCCAGTGAGTAACGCTTCACAAAACAGAAATTGGGCATTTTATGCATAAGAAAAATCACTGGTTTTAGCACTGTTGTTACCATATAAACAAATGAAATAAAAACATGATTGCCATTCAGTGCAGCTATGTCCATGTTTTTGAGGCCAGATCGTTAAACGAGGACATAAATCAGACTTCCACTTTTTCTTCATCTGTAGAGGTTTAAACCAATAACGTGCTCTTTTTACATATGAACGTGACAGGGCTTAATGAGGGTGCATGCTATGGATTTGTATTGAGTCATAAACAAATACCATCTATAACCAAAAAGTTTATTGTACTGGCCCTTGGGGATACAGAATTTAAAAGCCCCGGTCCTAAATGGTATAGCCACTTTACAAAAGAACCTTGCAGTTCTTCTAAAGGTGAAACAGTATAGTTAACATCTGAGCCATCAATTCTGAATAATTCATTTATTCAGCAGTAAAGAACAAAGTACTAATACATGCTCCAAGGGTGAACCTTGAAAATATTATGCTAAGTGAAACTAGCCACAAAATACCATAGAGTGTTTGACTCCCATTTATTTGAAGTGTCTAAAATAGGCAAATCTGTAGGGACAAAAAGATTACTGGTTGCCTATGCTAAGAGGTTTTGGGGAGCTAAGGACCAAGATGGCTAATTTGAATGGCATTTCTTTTGGGTGAAGTAGGGTAACTTTTTAAGTCTCCATTCTTGTCCTGTTTTATAAAATGGGTAATACCCAGAATTAGCTCATTTTTCAGGAAGAAAATATAAAGTAGGTTTTATTTAAATTATGTCAAGCTTTATTTGCTGTGAAAAAACATAGGGCTATTAGTGCAAAAGTTTATCCTCTGCACAGTCAAATCTCATGAGGATAGTCGACATGGCTAAAGGTTCTGTTTTAGAACAACTTTGGAACCTCTACTAGCAATTTACTTAACCTAAGCTTCCACTTCCTAATCCTGTGGTCTCCAAAATAGGGATGTGTAATATAACCCTTTGTTACAGGTTGAAAACCTTTTTTTTGGCCACCTCCTCTCTTCCCCCTGGCCAAATAATATACATACATATACTTAGAGTGTATATGTGTTCAGGTTTTTACTTATTTGGGTCACAAATATTTAGAGACTTCCGTCCTAATTAATAAAGGATGATATTGCCTCAGCTTCAAAAAAAAAATCATGAACATTACAGGAACTTAAATTAATACACGAAGTATTTACTATCTGACCACATCTAATTTACTAATTGTAAATTGTAAATGATCAGCTTTTACTTCTATGGAGAGGGAGGAAAGAAATTGAGTCCTACTTGAATCCTACTGTGTGCCAGGCACCATTTTGTAATAATTTGTAATGCCCACAACCCCTTCCCTGAGGTAGTTACTATGCCTGCTTTAGCAATAAGGAAACTTACTTTCATTGAGCTAGTACCAGGAGAGCTATTATAACATCAGTACAAAAGACCACAGGCTCTAGGACTTCAACATCACCCTGTAAGTGCAAATACTTTACCTTTGGGAGAGTAGGATAAACCGGACTCAAATTATCAAGCATAGAAGTTGAATAGTTTTGTGACAGTTCTGTGAAACCTATCAAGATATCAAGATAAACTTATTATCAGTTAACCAGCTTTTCAAAGTTACTCTTTTTCATTCAGAACACTAATTACTATCTCTGTACATTTCTCCTTAGTATAAAAAATAGTTCCTAAAATTATACTATGGGAAAAATCTGTTCAAGTAAACTCTGTAGTACCTTTTCAAAAATGTGAAACTTTTAAATAAAAGTGGGGAGAGTGCCAATTCTTTACATGCTAGATAGACAGTGAAGGAAGACTGTGTGCGGGTTACTGCACTGGACACAGTGGCTTATGCTACCATGTCTTGGTGCCTTGAAATAAATGGCTAAGACCAGACCATAGAAATACATGGGAGTGAAGAGCAGGATCAAGGTTGTTTAACCTCCAAGTGTAAGGACGTAGGACAAGTCAGTATTATACCCTTCATTTTGTTACTTGAGGGCACCTTCAGGATTGGGAAGTACATTTGTGGCTAGTAAATTAAAGACCACATTTTGGATATAAAGCTAGACTTAAGTAACAAGCTTATTTACTCAGTCTGTTGCACCTATGTTGATCTTAATTTTTTTGCTTCAGTCTTTCCATTTACAGCCCACTGGCACTCCAGGCACCTACCTACTTCAGACAAGCTCAAGCCAAGGCCTTCCCCTCACTCTGACGGCTAGTCCCACAGTAACCCTGACAGCTGCCGCACCTGCTTCTCCTGAACAGATCATTGTTCACGCTTTATCCGTATGTTACATCAGTTCCTTGATTTTTCTAGTTTCTGTAGAGAAGACTGGCTGATAAGTGTCACCAGAAGCTTTTTGTTTTTAATACTATGAGAGGACCCATGTGCCTTCAATAATAATAGGTCTAGGGGAGAAATGGATTATGTAGCCTAAGTATTTGAGTACCTGTTAGGGACCAGGATTAAATGCTACTAAGTTTAAGAGCCAGAATAGAGTCCACTTATTTAAACAATTTTTCCTACTGCTGTTGTCTTAGGAGCATAGTTTTACAACACCATTACTCTGCCTTTACTGGGGTATAACCCTTACCCCCGTGTGTCTCCTTACATGAGATGGAATGATTGGGGGGAGGTCCTAGACCACTGCAGTTCCAGAGGTGAGAGGGGAGGGGAAGGACAGGCGAGTGCCACCTGTAAATGGTAGTTCTCGCCTATAACTGAAGTCTGGTTGGGACTTTCTCATTTTGCCATTGATCATTTTCTTTGACATTTTATAGCCAGAACATTTGTTAAACACAAGTGACAACGTCACGGTGCAGTGTCACACACCACGAGTCATCATTCAGACTGTTGCCACGGAAGACATCACTTCTTCCATATCCCAAGCAGAACTGACAGTAGATAGTGATATTCACTCATCTGATTTTCCTGAGCCTCCAGATGCCCTAGAAGCAGACACTTTCCCAGATGAAATTCATCAGCCTAAGATAACTGTAGAGCCATCATTTAATGATGCTCATGTATCCAAATTCGGTGACCAAAATAGCACAGAACTGATGAATAGTGTTATGGTCAGAGCGGAAGGAATCTCTGACACCGACCTTAAACAAGAGGAGTCATCTCCTTTAGCCCGTGCATATGTTACTGAGGTAAGTTGCACTTAAGGGAACACCCTTTGGGTTCTTGCCTTGAGCCTTAAACCTTCATTTTGGAAAAAGCCTAGCAATAATTTATGGGGGGGAGGGGGTCCTACACCAACTTCCCTTTTTCTCTGGACACAAAATCAGATGCAAACGGTACCTGTGACCTCACAAGTATGAGACAGCAGTGTGTTGCTCAGCCTTAGCACCAAAACTTTTCCCCCTGTACCCTTCCAATAGGTTGAGATTTGTTTGTTGGGACCTATGGAACCATTTTCAGGAGCGTGGTTTAGTAGTAGGTCTTTGTGGTACAGCTTACTAGCAACCTTACTTACCCCAGTGTAACAGCGTTGTTTCTTCTACGTTCAGGGGACCTAGAACTGAATTCCTTCTTTTAAGTTCCGTTTTGTCCATTTTTAGGCTTTAATTTTCTTTTCTTTATAAAATGGGATAATGTTTGACTGTGAAGTCCTTTTAAACCTAAACGTGTTTGGGATATTAAGGAAAACTAAGAAATAGGAGTCAGAATGTCTTTTTTTTTTTAATTGCTACTGCTTAGGATCTAGAGTCTCCTACCATAGAAGAACAAGTTGATCAAACAGCCATTGATGATGAAACCATACTTATCGTTCCTTCACCACATGGCTTTATCCAGGCATCTGATGTTATAGATACTGAATCTGTCTTGCCTTTGACAACACTAACAGGTACTGTGATATAACTCCGTCATGTGCCCGATAAATCTTAAGGGAAACATCAGGCTACTTGATCCAACAGTAGTCATCTTGTTAAGATTTTGCACTTTGGTCGAGTAGTTACTATACCTTCTTGACATGGATGAGAGTACATACATGTAAACTTACTTAAGACTTAACTCATTACAGATCCCATACTCCAACATCATCGAGAAGAATCAAATATCATTGGATCATCTTTGGGCAGTCCTGTTTCAGAAGACTCAAAGGATGTTGAGGATTTGGTCAACTGTCATTAGGTAATTCTTAAGAGACAGGTAGCTCAGGCAGAGAAGCCACACTGTTAATTACAACATCTCCAAAGAAATAGGAGCAACTCCCAAGAGGCTTAATTCACCATTCCTTTGGCTTTTAAATAGCTACAGTGCTTAAGCCACATACATGTTGCTGCTATGACTATTTATTTACCTCCTTTAAATATACCATCTGAGGTCAGTCTTAGGACAGTGTGTAGATAAACTGAGTATGGAGGTCTTAACTGCGTAGATCCCTGTGATTGGTGTTAATTGTCAGCAGGGAATTTCATTCACTTCAGCTACTGAGAAAAGTTTACAGTCACCAAAGCTTATCTACTTCGTTTTACAAAGCAGTCATATTCATCTCTAAAGATCGGACATGGCTCTATCCAGTCTCAAGTAGGCCGGTTCGTATTTCGGAGACATCCCATCAACATGGTGTAGCGCTTACCAGTGACGCTCAGAAATGTTAAGTACCCTTAGTTTGAAAGGTGCCCAGCATCCCATACAGAGACCTAGGAGGGCATTGTGTGGCCGTTACTGTTGGTTTACCCATTGCTGGCAGTGGGAGCTGATTCAGGCTGGGTACACAAAAGAAGCATTATAAGAATTAAGAACATTCACTACAGGTTTTTTATTACTTATAAAGGGAATATGGAAGAGGGTAGCAACACAGCTCACCAGAAGCTAGAGTTTTCACCCCTTCAGAACCCACTGTTGTCAGTTTACAAAGTTAGCACTTTGAAGTAAAATTAAATGGGAAAGGAAGTTAAGGTTGCCTACCCTATACTATGACTCTTACATGTTTTGCTATACAAATTACCCAGGAAATAGTTGAGGAAGGTATCAGAGTCTTCCCTTCACTTTAGTGCATCAGCTGGTGGGGCGTGACGTAACTTCTCCCTCTCAGGCAATTTAAAAAAACAAAATTTGCTTCTGTTAGGAAAGAGATCAAGAGTCATTCATGTATTAGAGAAGGTGAAGCCAAAATTAGCCTCTAGGGCTTTAATGAACATGACCCCTACAGAAAAGTCACAAAAAAAAAAAAAAACTTGTATAAATTATTTTATTTATTATTGTAATTAGGTCTTCACAATCAAAGTTGTCTTTTCACCGTCTGTGTTTTGTTAATGTGAAATTGTAGTTATAAGCAAAAGTTGGTTGCCTAGGGAACAATAATTGTATATTCAGTTTAACAGAAATAAAAGAATATTTGTCTTAAAATTCAAGATTGTTACATAGCTTTTCGCCATGCACTTACATTATAAAAAGTCTAATTTCAAAAGTGAAAATTGCTTGTGCCCTTTGAGCTTTAAGGGTTGGAATGTTTAGGTGCAACACCACCTCCTTAAAGAAAAAGCAAAGCAATCTAGGCTATGTCTCCCCTGCAAGAGGGAATTTTAGATTTACAATTAACATGAAAATCATGTATCAGACTTGTGCAGGAGATTCTTAAGCATAGCTTACCCGGCTCTGACTCACAGTCCTAATGTATAGCTTTGAAGAGACCTGGTAAGTATTTCTCCTTGGCAGCCTCACCTCCCCACGTCATGGAAGTACAGGTTCGCACATATACATAACATGATGATAGAAAATAAGATATAGTAAATTAGATTTCTAAATTTCGGTTCTAAGTCTCCTTGTCGATACCAGTAGATCTAAAAGAAGAAGAATTACATAAGAGTTTTAAGTAATAGCCACTAGGCCTGACATGAAAATTTTTAAATACAACTAATTCTTTTTCAACTGTGACCAATTTCATCCATATATACTTTCCCCCACTGAGACAGTCTTTATGTTGGTATACATTTCTGAAACCAATGTGGTCAGAATGTAATTTTTCTCTTTATAATTCTAGTAGTACCAAATTTCCACATCCAAGATCATACTTGTTCCTGCTTTCTCAGCTACCCTTTTTCTGTTCAAACCAGTAGTCATCCAATCACTGACAAGCCATCCAAGAATGTATACTTTGTAGGTCTGTTTTAAATGTATTTGAGTAAAAAGGTACAGGTCTCTTTGGTCCTGGAAGGGATGACAACTTTTAAATTCTTATTAACTACAGAGTCAGGTTGCCAATACACTGTAAGTTTTTATACAAAACTAGATCATGTTAGTCACTCCTGGCTTTAGGCTGGGAGTGAGAAGGGCCATCTCTGGTAGTTTTGTTCCAAAGCCTCCAGAATTAGATGGGCCAACTCTTCCTCAGAGCAAAGGAGTAGAGCAGAATAAAATTAATGAGATAAGCACATTACAATGGTGATGTAAGCCCTATGTGAGTCAAAACTACTGCTTTTAAGGGTTTATAGTTTTGGTTCTACCTCTCAAGGGAAATAAAACAACAGCCAAGTAATTAATGACTAAACAATTGGCAAATAGCTAAGGGAGGATCTATCACCGTCTTTGTTTCTTTATGTAAAGGAAAAGCATCTTTATGCTAAATAATGGTACATTCTTGTGACAAGGATATAGCTGTAGCTTAAGATTTCCCAGGAGGTTCTTGGTGTTAATTACTTTCATTTGGGGAGATAAGCACAGAGATTAAAATAGACTAATTCTGTAATTAGAAGTAAATCCAGAACGCTGTATCTCTTCCCTTTAGAGCAGTAATGGCATTTGCCAAATCCTGCTGGGCCTGTAGGCAGTCCTTGAAGGAAGATGTATTAGGTAAATTAAAGCTTTGGCCACCCAAGTCTTAACTTTTTTCCCCTCCCCTTTTCTTTTTTAAGCTTTCAAAGGTTCCCTTTAGAATTAACAACTCCTGATTCCAGAAACAAAAAATCTGCCAATTAATACTGAGACTTCCGACATCCTTTGCATTGAGGTGGGGACGGGTAACTAGACATACCCTTTCTTACAGACCCAAGGTTGGGAATCTGTCCTACATATACACTGCAACCTTCAGCCCTCAAGGATACTCAGTTTTAAATTCTAAATAGTACTCACAAGTATGCAGGCAGTAATACTACTCAAAGAGATGCAGACAGCAAAAAATATATTCAAAGGTTTTGGAGGTAGTTGAGGGAAAACAAAAGCACTGATCAGCGTTACCTGTATGAAAAGAAATTGTGTCAGGCCTTGGTTAGACTGGAGTTTAAGCAATGTCCTATTATGAAACACTTCACATTGTAAAATAGTATCTACCACCAGGTTTGCCTTCTGGAATGTTAATATTTAGTACAGTGTTTGTAAATCTGTTCCAGTATGTTACTTCTTTTAGTACTTCCTTTTCGTATCCTTTTCCTCCACTATGAAAGGAGACAAAACATCATAGCTCATCAAACTAGCGAAGCTCAAAATAACCTCTTGACAAGAAGATTAGGAAGCATTTAAACCTCATTACTAGGATTAAGGATTACACTGGGAAAAGTTTTAACCTTTGTTATGTTATCTTGCATATGCCAACAAAAATTAAAACCAAAATGGTTTTTGAACATTTTGGGACATACTGAGATAGGTTTCTGATACATTGGAGTTCTGTTTCTATCACAAATAAAGCATTATACTCATTTTTTATTAAGATGTCATTGAAACTTCACTAAAATTCTCTTTGATTTAATGAAATGTGATAATAAAAATGCCCTTTTTAGACTATGGGAACTATCGCTGTATTTTACAGCAGGAGTACCAAGCTACATTATACAGGGTAAAGAATAAGGACCAAATAATCTTTTTTAAAGGATAACGAGTGTGCTTTTAGGAACAAAATAAACTTAAGGGATTAGCAGGAATGGGGAGTTGTGGGTCATATACAGAGGGGAATTGCTGGTGCCACTGACGAGTTACAAATTTACTAAACACAGAAACATGGCAGACTCAGAAATACTTGACATGGGCTATTTCATATACTCAACTGGGGGGTATTCCTGTTGTCAACTGCAGTTCAAGTGGTAATAAAACTGAATACTAGACTGTGACTAAAAATACTCCACAGATTCATGTACTGGCCTCTTGTATTTTTTCTGTGTTAAACTGAACCACAATACCGAGGCTTTCAAAAGAAACTTCGGTGAAGAGCCTGGGTGAGACACAAAATAAACATACTTACTAGAATCAATAAGGATGTTAAGCTGCCAACAACTAAATTGATGATTCGATCCTGAAAGAGAAAAGAGTTTTTGAGCTCTATGATAGGTCCACGTCACTTTCAGAAAGGTACAATTCTAGCCACTGGGGTGATGGCGAATTAAGAAATGAAGGTCCTGCCCCTCTGAGCTTTACACACACACACACACACACACAAAGTACCAGAAAGGCCAAGTGTACTGAGCCACCAGGGTGGAGAAGGTACTTTGGGAAGACACGGACCACTAATGAGAAAAGGTTTTCTGAAAGGACACGATGCTTTTACACTACAGTCTTTTGAAGACTGGGAGGGACTGAATGGGGAAAGGATGCTTATAAATATTCCGCGTGCTGCTGGGAACAGTTTGAACAGAAGCAAAGGGACAAGGGCACTGGCATGGCCAGCCAGCCCAGGGCCTTGGTGACAAATACCAGGAACCAGACTGCGGGGCACTTTGAGTGCCATGAGTTTGGGCCTACTTGTGTTACAGCTTAGGTGTCCTTGCCTAACGTAATTTAGAAGTAGAGGCTACTGCTGGAAGGGGTCACACAATGCCAGGGCTGGAGGCAATCTCACACCATCTAAGGCCAGTGCTTTTCCAACTTAATAGCAAAAGCCTTTAGTAACAAAGTAATCATTTGATTGAATGCAGAGCCTGGGGTCCTACCCACCACTGAGCCTTCTTGCCATTCCCATCCCCACTCCAACCAATTCCACAGAAAGGTTTGGAAAATGTCTCATCTAATTCAATCCTTATATTATAGATTAAGATAAATTTAGGTCCAGTGAGTATGGTTAAATTATTTGTCTAAAGCCCTACAGCAAGCGTGAAGCAACTTTTTAACAGGATTCCCAAATCAAGGTCACTGGTTAGATAAAGCTTCAGCTATAGGAAGTCAAGTATTTCATATATATAAAACTAATATAATGTTAGTAATACGTAATACACGTATAATATGTAGATTTGGTTGAGCTTACAGAACAGGATCATGATTAACAAACACTAAAGGCCACTGAGAATACCAAGTAGTCTTATTTCTGAGAAGTCAAAACAAATCAGGAGTCTTAAAGATTTTTGGTGGCATCTGAGCACGAACAGCAGGCTATGGAACATGAGTAGGCAATAAACAAAAGCTCACAGATCGAAGGGCACAGGAAGGAACAAGCACAGCAGCAACTGAACACCCACTTCCGAGTTGTCTACACTTAAAACTAAGAATCCGAAGTTAAGAGGCAAGCAAAGCTGAGAGGAACGGTGAAGGAAAGCCAAGTATTAAATTGGGTGTGCTTGACCTAACCAAGGAAAACCCTTCTCTCCAGACCAAGGCCACTGCAATTCACATGTTATAGAGGACAGAGGTGACAACTCCAGCCACACCCTTACTAACCTAGAAGGACTCAGAACCAATCTTTTCACCGCCTCAGCTACAGAAGCCTGCCCAGCAACACCCAGAGTCTGAAATTACAACCATTTGTGGGCAAAGAGACCCAGGGGCAAATCACTGATCACTAGTCACTAGTGTCCACACACAAGACAAATGTGCATCTCAACCTCAGTTGTACAGTCTCTTAATGGGAGTCCCACTGTTTTTACCTTGTGAAGAAAGTTTAACTTAGAGTCTCTTTAAGAGTTGCAGGGACTTACAGAAGTTTACAAAGGTCTGCATACCTCACCACAGCTCTCCTACCCATAGAAAGAAGACAGTGGAGAGCTTCAGGTGAGGGAGCCAAGCAGAATCACTTATCTCCAAACAGCACAGCAAGATGCCAACTAGGATCAGAGCAGGAGAAAAAGTAATCATAGTGAAGGGATAGTAACTATGCCAAGAGCTTTTGCGTATCCTCTTAAAAAAAAAAAAAAAAAATTCTGGGATGGAATGGTATCAGGACTATTTTACAGGTGGCAAAACAGGCTCTGGGAAAGACAGTTTGCCCAAGGTCTCACTCTCAGCGATGGAGACAGGATTCATTGCCGAGAGAGCAGATCCCACTTAACTTCTCACTGGAAGAGCAGCTTGGAATGCTACTTCTGGTCTAGAAAAAGACATCGAGTGGCAGGTGGCCCCTCAAAAACCCATTAGCAAAGAACTACAGTAGAGTGTCTTTCAGGAATGAAGAGTTCCTCAAATGACTTTTTCATGTTGTCAAAATTACATAAGTCTAACTGGTTTTAATCTTTCATAATATATCTAAACTTTAATGAAGACTCCCTGCTTGCCTTCTAGACAGTTCACTGAATAGAATCCCAAGTCCTCTTCATGAATATCAGTCGTTCTATCACAATGCAGCCCCTCTGGGACTCCCAAGATGGGACGAACCATTTAGCATATGGTCAAGTGTTTCTCACAGGGTTTTCCTTCTCCAAGCCAAGGACTTGGCTTCAGGCCTTCTGCTATCCAAGTAACCATGAATCCAGGCCAAAGAAACAGCAGAGTTGACTTAGTAAGACCTCCCACTTTTCAGGCGCTTCTAAAAGCTTGCTATGGGGCGCCTGGGTGGCTCAGTTGGTTGAGCGACTGCCTTCGGCTCGGGTCATGATCCTGGAGTCCCGGGATCGAGTCCCACATCAGGCTCCCTGCTCAGCAGGGAGTCTGCTTCTCCCTCTGACCCTCTTCGCTTTCGTGCTTTCTATCTCTCATTCTCTCTCTCTCAAATAAATAAATAAAATCTTTAAAAAAATAAAAATAAAAAATAAAAAAAAATTAAAGCTTGCTATGTATGGAAATTGTGGTCTGCAGCCCAGCAGCGTCAGGCTCACTTGAGAGCCTGTGAGAAATGCAGAATCCTGGGCCTTGCCCCAGGACCTACTGAATCAATCTGCATTTTAACAAGATCTTCAGGCGATTTGCACATTAAAATGTGCGAAGCACTGCTCTATCAACAAGTCCAAACTAAACCATTTTAAATACCGAGAAGTTCAAATAATAGAGAAGAGACCCTTCCCTGGGCCCAGAGATTACTTGCTGGGTTTTAGCATCTCTCCCAGCTCCCAGTCTCCAAAGATAGAGCAATAAAAGCAATTAAATAGCATTTCAAAGGGCAGTTTTCAAACTAATATGCATCAAATCATAATAAAGTACATGAAGTACATAATACATAATAAAGTACATAACACTCTTAATTTCTCATAAATATTAATTTCTCATAGAAACGGTCTCCTCTCCATTTTTATTATTCCTATTCCTGCCTACCAAAACTTCTCCCCTCCCAGAACTTTAGACCTTATACTGTGTTTTATTTTCACTCCCCAAGAAAGATCGAAGGATCAAAATCATCCTTGATCCTTACTTGCAGAGAGGCTAGGATAGGGAATTAGGACATCCTAGCACATGAACACAGAAAATACATAGCATAGTTCTGAGAGGGATTCTGCATATATTACCTTGTGAGTCATTTATTCCCTTAAACATCTCCATGACAGCTCAATAAAATGAAAATTACTATATTCCAGATGCAAATACAATGAATAAAACAGTCTCTACCCTCCAGAAGGTGACACTGTTCATAGCCCAAGAGGGCACTAAGGAGAAAGTGTGGTACCTTCGTCAGGTAGAGAATGTAAGACAAAGTCAGACCTCAAAGAGGACTAGCAGATGAACAAAAAGCAAAAAGAAGGGGGTCCAGAGGGACCTTAACCAAGACCCCAGAGAGAACAAAAGCATGGCAAATGTAGATAGCCCATAGCTGAGCCAGCTTCATTAGACCTGAGCAAAGGGGCTGGCATCAGCCTTGAGCCCAAAGCAGTTAGGTCTTCATCTTCCTTGGAAATGGAGAAAGAAAAAATGATGGACATTATGTGCCAGTGGTTTATACCTGGGATGGTAGAAATTAACCCTGTGAATCAAGTAAGAAAACACGATCTCCATTTACTAATGGGTAACTAGCTTCAATGAGACTGATCTTTCAAGGCCATACAACCAGGTAATGGCCAAGTCTATCCAATGCTCTTTGCAAAATTCAAGCCAAAGGTCTAAGAATCCTTAGACTAATAATATGTATGGATCCTGAAATTAGAATTAAGAAACCAAGGTTCTCATCTCCTTTCTGCCACTGGCTAACCATGTGATTAACATAACGTAATTAAAAAAAAAAAAAGATCCCTTAACCCATTTGGGTCTATCACACCAGAGGATTGGGCTACGTGGTATTTGGACCCTTCCTGCTTTAATAATTTGTGGTTCTGGATTGTCAGCTTCAAATTGCACTTGGGCCAGAGTACAGGGCCTGCTCCCCAGCAGTCAGAAAGCAGAGAAGCCCCCCAATCTTGCCTTGTCCGTCATTAGCCAGCACCTTGGTACCAGACAGAGAACCCCAAACTCATGTCAAATGCTCAAGCATTTCATGATGGCTCCGGGAGGAAACTGGCAAAAACATCTCAGAAACTGGCATCTGCCCTCAGCACCCTGAAAACATCCTGGTTCTAGACTGTTCGGAATGCTAACAAGTATTCCACTTCCAGAGCAATTTATTTTTTGCCTACATCCAAAATGGATTTAAGGGCTTGTGCTACTCCAGTCGAAGCCCAGCCCACTCAAGCAGCAACAAAAAGAGCAAGAGGCAAAATCTCCAAAGCGGTCTGGGGAGCAGAGTGAGGACAGACACAAAAAACTGGACTAAAGACAAAAAAACTTCTCCGATTTAAGCTCAAATGTTAGGACTAAGACTGCTGGGGAAGTGGGAAGTGCAACAGGGTTTAAAACTGCTGGCTAAATTAAGCACACTGGATCATTAGAAGAAGCAAACCTCTCCTGGATCTAACAGTTTTGTTGCATGGGTCTCCGGCAAATATAGGGACACAGAAAACATAGCTAGTTCACACATAATCGTCTCTTGTATTGACAGTAAGAAAGAAAGAAGGCATAATGTCCTCACAAGAGTGAGGTGTGGGACGCGAGGCTGGGGTGGCCAACATGCCACACTCCCAGGTTGAATGCTCATCCTCAGAGCTCAACTCGAACATCAAGTCCGCTGTAAATCCTTTCTGGATCCCCCCTCGGGCACCTTCCCCTCAGGATGAGGTGCTCCTGCCTCAG